ACAGGGACAATTATGGAGAGTCCAGTTGGAAAGAGTCATCTATATCTGACCCCATTCGACTGTAAGGCTCGCATAAGAGGCTTCAGCATCCTCCTATAGTGAAGCGTGGCTGGTAAAAGGCCCGGGAAGAGCTGCAGTTTGGATTGAAGGTGGCAAATTGTGCCAACCTCTCTAGCAGCTTGTAGGATAGCCTCCTGTTCGGCAAAAGACTCAAGGCAGTAAAACATGTCTCATGGCGGTGCTTCTGGTGGGCCTATGGGGCGCAGGGCACGTTGATGGGTCCCTGGACAGCAGCCTGTTGAAAATTACCTCCAAGGTAGTGCACAATTGCGCCCCACGCAAGATCTGGATAATCAGGGACGGTGCAACAGCTTGCAGCAGCGAGGCCTCTCCGAGCCAGGGAGGCCTCGCAGCCGCAAGTTGTTGCCCCATCCCCGATTATCCAGGTCTTCCACATGGAGAGCATGGCCTCGTAAGTATTCCGCCTGAAGGATGGATGTGAGTGCCTGATCCGTCTGGAGCATATCACATGTGGCCTCCAGGCGGCCCACTCGGTCGTTCAGTCCCTGGAGGTCCTCATGGAGTGCCTGTATGTTGGCTCTTATCGAGGTCTGCCAAAACAGGGCGAGTCGACAAGGCATGATGCAGTGTCATCCAGTCCCTCTCCTCTGACATCGGTGACCGGTCTGGCTCTTTGCCCCCTCCCAGCCCCTCTGTGTATCTCTTTCTCTCCATAGCCCCATTTGTGTCTCTCTTCCCCCAGTACCTTGTCTCTGTCTCTCCTAGCCCATCTATGTTGCTTTGTTTCCCCCAGCAACCCATGTATCTTAATTCCTCCCCCAGCCCTTCCACGTGTTTCATTCCCTCCTAAGTAATTTCATATTCTCACCCCCCCGTCCCTCAATGTGTCTCATTCCCCCAGCCCCCTCATGTGTCCTGTTCTCCCAGCCACCTCATGTGTGTCTCATTCTCCCAGCCCCCTCAAGTATCTCATTGTCCCAGTCCCCTCATGTGTCTCATTCTTCGAGCCCCTCATGTGTCTCATTCCCCCAGCCACCCCATGAGTCTCAAGCCACCGGTCCCCCATGTGTTTCAATACCTCGGTTGTTCAGGCTCTGGAGGTCGTCATGGAGCGCCTGTATGTTGGCTCTTATCGAGGTCTGCTAGCAGCCGCCAAATCTGCGCGAGTCGGCAAGGCGCGAGGCAGGGTCATCCTGTCCCTCTCCTCCAGCATCGGCGATCGGCCCAACAGCGAGAAGCATGGCAAGACATCACCCTGGTCATCAGAGGCCTCCTCTGACACGGCCTGGGACACCAGGTCCACTGGCGTTGAGAGGTACTGGTGTAGCGATGGGTTAAGAGACCCCTTTTAGGGTTCATTAGCCTTCTGGGAGTTGGAGGGTCTGTGCGTTTTCCCCATTTTGAGCATATATAGTGGGATTATTGCTCAAATTTACATGAGGCAGTGGAGTAGGAAAGATTTAAGCGGCCATCTTCACTAGTCATATTCTTTTGACTAAAAAGCCATTTTAGATTTAGTCGTATTTTCGTCATGTGAATTGTCTTAGTCGACTAAATTTCCAGTAGATTTTAGTTGACTAAATCTCCAGTAGATTTTAGTTGACACGACTAAAATCTAATGGTTTTAGTTAAAGCCTCTATCTGTTTTTTTTTTGCCCTTTCCACAGCCCCTTTGTGTCTCTTTGTGTCCCTCAGCCCCTTTAGGTGTCTCTCTCCCAAGCCCTGGTCTGGCTCTTTGCCCCCTCCCAGCCCCTCTGTGTATCTCTTTCTCTCCTTAGCCCCATTTGTGGGTCTCTTCCCCCCAGCCCCTTTCTCTGTCTCCCCTAGCCCCTCTATGTTGCTTTGTTTCCCCCAGCAACCCATGTGTCGTGATTCCTCCCCAAGTCATTCCATATTCTCATCCCCCCCAGTCCCTCCATGTGTCTCATTCCCCCAGCCCCCTCATGTGTCCGGTTCTTCCAGCCACCTTGTGTGTATCTCATTCTCCCAGTCACCCCATGAGTCTCAATCCACCAGTCCCCCATGTGTTTCAATAACCAAGCCCCCCATGTGTCTCATTCCTTCAGCCCTCCTTGTTTCTCATTTCTTCTCCTCTCTCACCATGTGTCTTACCCGCCAGTGTTAATTTTGGCGGCAAATTTCAATTTAGTTTTAGTCATAGTCTTTTGACTAAAAAGCCATTCTAGTTTTAGTGTTATTTTAGTCATATTAATTGTTTTAGTTGTATTTTAGTCATCTGAATTGTTTTAGTTTTTTTTTTTATTCTTTATTTTTGAGGGTTTTGCAAGTCAAGAAAAACAATTACAACATGTGATCAAAGGGATATCATGTAACATATTACATATTAGACAATCATTGTGTATTATAGAATCGCACAGGTGCTACGTCTACCCATTTTAGTATAGTTAGTCATGCTAATCCTCCTCTTATCTGTACGGAGTAAGTACAGTGTTATGTCCGGGAGGGCTTGGGTAATAAGCTTAGTGTGCCCTGCTAGACAATGTTGGGTGTCATGCCTTACCTAGGGTTGTTGTGTTGGGAGAGTATAGACAATATGGCCTATGGTTGCCCATGGCCTTGTGTGGTCGGTCCGTGTTTTCCAGATGGTTGCCTACCTCATGGTGTGGAGGTATAAACTAGTTGGCTGGGACTCCACTCTGTCTGAATAAGGGAGGGGGATTAGTATCCCCTAATCTGAACTGTGTGATGTTGAGCTAAAGAAAATAATAACGCTGAAGTAAATATAAAACGTAATGAGAAGTCATGCATATATGCATATAAAACTGGTATATATAATGGGCCTAAGAGGCCTTCAACTGGGAGTTGCAGTCCCGACTAAAAAGTACATCATGTAATGTTATAGGGGTGGTCCGTTGCCCTTGGTACCGTTCCCCTGGGTGCAAAGGGAGTGACTTCTGTGAGATTCCACGGTGGGTGGGCACCTGTGTTCACTGCAGGTGTTAGGAGGCCTATTGACTGGAAAGTTGGTGCCTCGGAAGCGCTCGTCAGGAGGTGTGTCTTTCCATCATGGTCCACCATCAGTCAGTGGGGACCCCATTTGTAAGGGACAGAGTTCTCTCGTAGGTGCTGCGTAATGTGGTGGAAGGTTCTGCACCATGTGAGGGTGTGTCTCGATAGGTCTCTGTACAGTGTCAAGTTTGCTACTTCAAAAGTAATTGTGGGGGAACCCCGGGCTGCTCCCATAAGGGCCGCCTGGTCAGAGTCCCGAACCAATTTAAGTAACACATACCTTGGGGCTTCCTGTGGTGCCTTTGTGGCCTTAGGGAGACGGAAGCAGGAATCAATTTCAACTTGTTTAGCCTGTTTTGGGAGCAACAAAGTGGCTATCAGCCTTCTGCAGTAGTGTGGCAATTCCGCGGTATTGGTCATTTCAGGTACCCCTCTAATACGCACATTTTGTGCTTTTGCTTTATCTTCCATGCCTGCTAGCTGGACTGTAGAGCACTGTAGGGATCCTAAAGTTGCGTCTGTGGCCGTTTGCGCCACTCTGGTGCTTCTGAGTGTCTCCTCCACTGAGGCCACGCAGCCTGTAAGCGTGTTTACATCCCCTCGGACAAGCGACATATCGGCGTCAAACATCGCCCTGATTTCCAGCATCATAGCCCTTATATCGGCTTTCGTGGATGGTGCCAGGTCGCCTAGGTCTGGTGGCTGCTGGGGCTTAGTTTGTACCTTAGACTGTGCGGGCAGGAAGTCCGGTAGGCTGTCGTCTGAGGTAAAGGCCTCTGCCAGCGCCATCTTGGTGGGCTTGTGGCGCTGGGTCGGGCGCATGAAAGCGCCTATATCTCTGGATCCGGAGCTCGTTTATGCTCTGTGCTTTTTTAACTTTTTTCCCCATGGTCCAGGGCATACAGGGGGCCTTTTTCTCGTTTCCCGTTGAGGATTTAGCCTCCGTTTTGGCCGTATTATCGGGTTGGCTGTCGGAGCTGGGACTTTCTTGTTCAGGCGCTGTCTCCGCCCCCCTGAACTGAATTGTTTTAGTTTTAGAAGACTAAATCTCAAAAATTTTAGTTGACTAAAATTGTAAGTCGACAAAATTTACACTGCTGAAATTAAGAGTTTGAATTGAGCGGGATAATGGGTTTATTTAAACCATCTATTGGCCAGTGGTAAATTACATTTCAATTACAGCACTGTCAAAGACCTTAAAAGGAAGTAATTAGTAAATTAGAACTTTCTCTCTTATGATGGATAGACCAATGGACAGATAGTAGATAGTAAATCTTTGAAGTGCTTGCTGCAGTTCGACGCTAAGGCAAGGCATTTCTCCCTATGACATGAGCTTCCACAGCAATATACCCATTAGCATTCTGTATTGGGTAACTGACAGTGGCTCCATTTTTGGAGATCATGTCTCTGTACATTATTGGCATGCACCATCTCTATTGTTGCTCCCTTCCACCTTCTCTTCTGATTTCATACCTGTCAATTAGGTAAAAAGAAAAAAAACAAAACAAAAGAAAGCAATTCAAATAAATACATGAAGGGGGCGGGGCCGGGCCGCTGAGCCGAGCGGCAGCAATCCATGTTAGCTCCGGCTCTGGGCCACCTAAATACACCGAAATACTGAACTAAAAGCTCACCCAGAGCCGGGCAGACACAAACAACAAGCAGGGAGTGACACAGGAGAAGACTGCAGGGACACCTGCCAAGCCGACACCAAGCAGCTCGCACAACCAGAGCATAATGATCCCATGAGGCCTACACACACATGGCGACGGCAGGAGCCGCGAGACCAGACAGCAGAGGGAGAGAGGGGAGTCCGGACCCGGCCCCGCTCCCCCCCCTCGGGCCGGCGGGGGTGATCCCGGCCCATGAGTCGATCTCCGGGGACTGGAGGCAGGAGGCCCACGCATGGCGGAGCCCTTTCACATGTGAAGCTACCATGGCCGCGGAACACACGAGTCACTGGGAGCCACGCGGGGTCACCAGGACCCACTGAGGTGACGGATCCCACAGATGGACCCCTCCGAGCGGCAGAATGGTCGGTGTGGAGCCGGCCCTAGCCCCTGGATTTGGTGGTGGTCCAGGGAGGCCTACCCCCAACTCTGTGAGCCCTATGGCGTCGGGGTGGGTTGGACCGGTGGCTGGGAGGACAAACACCGGCGACATGCAAGAGGCCGGAAAAAGGCGAGGCCTACCGGGGCTGGAGCTCCAAGGGGGAACTGCAGGGGTTGGGGAGGTGCAGGGGACGGGGGCCCGGGGACTTCTCGGGGGGGGGGGTTTGCTGGACTACTGATGTCCCTGAGTGCCCACAACACTGTGGAACCCTAAGCTGGCCGGCCGGAGCAGGCCCGGAGGGGTACAGAGGGTATTGGTTGCACCGGGGGAGCTGGAGAGACCCTGCAATAAACACCCAGCTTGGCATAAAGATGCACCCTGGGCATAATCCTACAAGAGGCCACGTAGAGGGAAGCCAGCTTAGATACCTCACAGGAGGCCATTAACCCCATGCTGGACATTTCTTCTCACCAGGCATTACAACGCCATCTCCAGTGGAGAGACTCACGTAATATTGTTTCACAGATGCAGATCAGTATATACCATGTTGCTGAAATAATAATTATTTCTAATATCAATACACTTGATTCATGGCAGGCCTATTTTCACGGTGCCTGACTAATATACTATTTCTGCCATATAAGTTAACCGCACCATACTTTTAGGCGGTTATTTGAGCCTAACGAAGTCCTTCATGCTGAACATGCACAGTGCTTAGCATCAGCATCAGTTCGCTTCTATATTCTCTCACGAGTAGATTCTAAACAAGTTAAGCATCATTGGTTTGTTTTTGCATATATCTATTTTTAATTCTGTTTAAAACTGAATGTGAGGTTAATGTCTCAGTGCTTCAAAGGGCTAAAGTACACTGTTGTATATCGTTATCTACACAATAGATACAGACAAGATACATATCACGCTAAACCTTTTTTTGCATAGGTACCCGACTGAATGGACGCAACGCCTACAACAGCTGATACGAGGACTCTTAATTACGCCCAGATCACTTAAGGCGGTACACATACTGCACGCTAGGCACACTAGGAATACCTACTTGAACTTAACATAAGACATAGGCACATGGCCACACCGGCCGAAACAGGCTGAACTAAACCTTATTTTTTCCTGAGAATATGTAGCTTGACCCATGACCCACACACGCGCTAGTGTGTAATACTCACATCGATTTCACGTATATACATTGATAAACCAGCCCATGCATACACAGCACTTTTAATTGTAATTAACCTGAATTATACAATTCGTCAGGCATAGCTGTACACACGCGACAATAACACCAGTGCACGGCACTATCAGGCCCTATCAACATATGCCTATCAGGCCGTTGACATATCTAACTTTGTGATGTTGATTGCCTTTGTATGGTTATAGCAGCTAGGACACAGCGCTTAAACGCGGTATTCCCATGCCCGCCTTAAATTACGAAACCTAACTCCTCGTAAACTTAATGTGTGTTTTAATATATAAGACTACAGCATTTTATGCAGGGTGCTCGATGATATAACCTATACCAGTACTGCACTTTTAGCAGCATTCTACATCTGACCACGCAATATAAGTTGATTATTTTATATAAATGAGCATTTACACGTCTACATGCTTACATATTTATATAATTTATTTGGCTATAAATACGCAAGATAGACAGACGAGAATCAGGCCAGGCAGCAAAGACATAATGATATGTTACCATTCAATGTTCAAAGATTATTAGATACTGCAAAGTTTGAACAATGCCCTCAATAGAAAGATAATAAAAACACACTTAAATGTGACATTATATTAAACGCTGTAGAACAATAGACATGATTGATGAGCCTCTGCGCAGGCAACATCTTGTATACCTATACTTGCAATGAAAACCAGTCCTCTGCGCAGGCACTAACCCGCTTTCACCTGTTATACGTTTGCATTGGAATATGCTATGAAACAAATAAACATATTTAAAACAAATAAATACATGAATACAGGAAAAGCTGTATTTAATACATAGTTACCTCTGTACAAAGCCTCTTTAAATATATTTACAAAAAATATATCTAAATATTTCTACCTGCATTACATCGAAATATGGAATAGCCGCAGGGGTTAATTTTCAGCCTGCCACTGACAGATGGGAAACGTTCCAATGCTCCAATTTCTCTACTTGCTGGATCTGCGCCCAGGATATTAATGTGGAGTTTGGGAGTTTGGGGGGAGGGAATGCTCAGAGGGGGGCCCCTGACAGGATGGCTGCAGGTTGGCAGTGGGGGGCCCTCTCTGCACTACTTGTCTTTTTGTGGGGTGTGCATGGGAGAGAAGAGTGCAGAAACCCTCTATTACGCACACAGGGCTTAAACCCACCACGACCAAGTCCCTGTGCCCTTCGCTGTGCCACACTGACTTACTACAAAATCTTGGGAAGCGAGAGAAGAGGAAGCGTGCTGTTTACTGAAGCCAGCACAAGTAGGACTGTGTTTGATATATGTGTGTATGTGTCTATATCCATGCTGCATCATCATAAGTGTGAATCTACTTCAAAATGTTCTGGTATGCTGAGCACATGGTGCCATGGGTTGTATTCATTTAATAGCTGTAGGCTGCCAATTCAATTATAAAGAAGAAAACTCAAATTAATTGACTTAACGAGTAAACTGACTTCCATTTACATACATGTAACACATGAATGCTACATTCTGCAGGATAGGGCTTCACATCTGCATGAAGAAATGGCATGTGCCTAGGAAATCCTGATCTGGAAACATCAGCCACACACATGGTATACATGCCCAGGGCTCCTAAAGTTTAATATTAGAAGTCAGTGTTATAGGGGAGAAAGTCTGGCAATTGTCCAAATTGATCACTTTTAAAGAAGAGCTGTATTTTAATTCTCTAGTATTTACCCCACTTCGTCTCAATGACATGTACTTGCCGCACTTGCACATCAGGTCCCCAATGTTCTTCTACGAGGAAGGCATATCCCCAGAATTCTTGGGTAGCATTCTTCATGCAATGTCTCCTGAATATATCTCATAAAAAGTGCATATAAAAGAAGTAAAAAAAAATCGTTTAGGGTAATAAATCCAGAGAAAGAAAAGCTACACTGATAACAGGGTACTAAAACAGGGTCTTTAAGTCCATAACAGAGGGCATCACAGAGCTCCCTCACTGCCGTCACACGCTGCAAGATGACAGACATACTCACTGACACACATTCCCTACAGACAGACACACTCATCTACAGACAGACACACACATACACTCACCAACAGACACACACTCACCAGCAGACATGCACACTGTTCGACACACACACACACACTCACTGACACACACACACACACTCACTCACTCACTCACACTCACACATTTTTGCACACTCTCACAAATTAATTTATTTTTTGAGGCTCATCCAGTGTAGGGCTGTGTTGTACTCTTGCAGTTTCTCACTCCTCCCATGCGCTGTGCACCCACCGAAGATTGGCCATGCCATCCAGCTCCCCTAACTCTCCCTGGGTTCCAGTGTGGGGCTGTGCTGTATATGTCATATTCCAGCTCCCGGCATCAAAGAGGGCAGGCAAGGGAGGAGTGAAGAATTGCAATATAAGCGCTGTCTGTCTCCTCCCCCCATCCCTCTGGCATATTTCGCAAGAGTAGGCACCTACCACACAAGTGAGCAGGTGCCTACTCTACCATAATAAATTAGCACTGCATCAGGGTATATCATTTTTTTCTCTTAATGGACATGACTAGTTATATATATATAATACCTGTATCCTTATAGTACTATCTCAGGGACATTTAGTGTTCAGTTAGTTTGTTAAATTCACTGCTTAGTGGATAGCTGCTAATGAAGGGGGATGAAAACCTCACTGGCTGTCTGGAGGTGTGTCTGCCTCGAGTTATAAAAGTGTCTATTTCTAAACTGTAAGGGGAAAACAGTGCCTGGCGCTGAGCCTCCATCAATGATGGAGGGAGGTGAAGTGCAGAAGCCAATCACCATTCCTACCAGTCATTTGTTAGTTGAGAACATCAGCTGAGCGCTCTCAGCAATGAGCTTCATGCTCAGAATTAAAATGAGCCTAGAATTCTTGTTTTGGGCTGGCTAATGATGCTGTCAGAGGTGGAATTACTCATCTGGCAAGTAGCCTAACTATCTCAGTATGTGCAGCTTTTCTTACTGAAATATTGCGCTAAAAGATTCCTTGCACTATAACTGCTATAAAACATTGAAATTGTCATAGTGCTTAGAGTTACACTTTAATTAATCATTGAGCTCACAGCCATGATTAGTTACTTGAGTTTATACTGGAAGCATGTGGATATCACACACTGCCAGCCTGGATTCTGAAGTCCTGGCTGACAAAATGCAGATTAGTGCCCACAAAAACTTGGCACTCTGTTATACTCCACATATAAGCACATGTAGAGGGCAGGTGTAAATTGGTTGACAACGTTGCATTTGAGAATATATCCAAGTAAGAAAATGTTGCCTCAGTTTTGCTATTAGTTTTTCTACAATTCATTATTTAGTAAGTACTGTGATTTATTTTTATTTATCTGATTAGTTATCTATAATATCCACAGCAGGATCAAACCAGGACATAACTGTGGTCCAAACATTTTTTTTAACTTCAGGTTTCAGGAATTAAAGGGATATCTGGTCCAATAAAGCACTTTAGCTTGCTGAAATGATTTATGTGTAAAGAGCGTGTCCTCTTATTTTCCTTTAAATAAAAAGTTCAGATTTGAATAGAAATTTGTACTTTTATAAATTAACCTGGTTACACCCCTATTGGCGTTCAAGCAGACAACAGGTCCTGAGATACGTTTGGTTATCTCAGTAGAGCTAAACTCAAGAGGCAGCAATTGCCCAGAGCACCTGCCTTACAAACACATCTCATTGAGCTACATTGGAAAACCTGTGATTGGACAGCCAGAAATATGCAGATATTTCAAGCTTTATTTAGATATACCCTTAGAGGAACTCTCCAGTGCCAGAAAAACAAACCCATTTTCCTGGCACTGCAGGATCCCCCCCATCCCATGCAGTGGCGGATCCAGAGCCTGATCTCGGGAGGGCAATTTGTAGATCATTTAAAGAAATAATCCAGACACAATAACAAACTGGCCAGCTCAGTGTAGTGGTTATGGTGTCATTGCGTTGTGGGACCCTCCCAGAGTAAGTAGTCAAAACCGGGCTTAAGAACAGTTTGACAACTTACCTTATGGGGTCAGCTGGAAAATGGGAAGTAGTAGGGCAGGAGCAGTGGTGTGTGTGAGTGGTGCAGTGTGTGTGTGTGTGTGTGGAGGGGATGCGTGTGGGCAGTGTGTGTGAGGGCGCAGTGTATATGTGGGCCAGTATGTGTGTAATACGTGGCGTGTGTGTGTGAGTATTGCAGTGTGTGTGTGTATGGGGGCGTAAGCGCTGGGGCAGTGTGTGTGTGTGTGTATCGGTAGTGTATGTGTGTAGAGTGTGCGGGCGGGGAGCAGTGTGTGTATGGGTGTGCAGTGTATGTCAGGGATGCAGTGTATGTGTGTAACAGTTGCAGTGTGTGTGAGTATTGCAGTGTGTGTGTATGGCGGGCAGTATGTGTGTATGGGGGAGCAGTGTGTGTATGTGGGGGCAGTGTGTGTGTATGGGGGCAGGGCAGTGTGTGTGTATCGGTAGTGTATGCGTGTGTAGAGTGTATGTATGGGGTTGTGCGTGCTTGGGGCAGTGTGTATATGGGGGGGGCAGTGTGTTTATGGGGGGCAGTATGGGGGGCAATGTGTGTGTGCATGGGGGCAGTGTGTGTGTATGGGGCAGTATGTGGGTGTATGGGGGGCAGTATGTGTGTATGGGGGGACAGTATGGGGGCAGTATGGTGTACAGTATAGCAAATGTGTGTATGGGGGGCAGTAAGGTGTATGGGGGGCAGTATGGGTGGCAATGTGTGTGTATGGGGGCAGTATGGGTGCTGGGGGGCAATGTGTGTATGGGGGCAGTATGGGGGCAATGTGTGTATGGGGGGCAGCATGGGCGCATGGGGGTGCATGGGTGGCAATGTGTGTATGGGGGGGCAGTATGGGTGTATGGGGGGCAGTGGCTGGGGGGCAATGTGTGTATGGGGGGACAGTATGGGGGGCAATGTGTGTGTGGGGATCAGTGTATGTGTGTAGAGTGTGTGATAAGGGTAGGGGGGCTTTTTTTTTAAATATATATTTTTTATTTAGTTTAATATAAATAATCATTATGTCCCCCCTCCCTTCTTACCTTTACTGGGGGGGAGGGGGGGACATATTTCGTTCCCTGGTGGTCCGGTGGGGGATTCATTGGTGGTCCCAGTGGTTACAGTGAACTCTAGCCCGCGCTCCCGGGCTAGAGTTCACTCTCTCGAGATTTGGAGCGTTGCCGTGGTAACCGCGGCAACGCTCCAAATCTCGAGAGAGGAGGACCCTGAGGAGCTGCAGACTAAGCTTCGGGTCCTCTCTCTCACTCCCTCCCTCTCTCCCCCGCTGGCCGCCAGCACGGTGCCTGCGGACCGGGGAGGGAGATCTCTGATCTCCCCTCCGGTCCGCAGGCACATTGCAGGGCTAGCGCCTGCATGTGCTGGCAGGGGAGGGAGAGGGAGACCGGCGGATTTCTCGGGGGGAGCAATTGCCCCGTTGCCCCCCCCGGATCCGCCACTGATCCCATGTTGCTGAGGGGACCTGAATCCAGTGCCGATGTCCCCCGGTGCTGGGTCAGGCTCCGCCCTTGCTCCTTCCTGGGGAGAAATTCTACTATTTTGCTTATTTGGTGAGTGTCCCTTTAAGGTTCAGGCCAAGAGTTGCAGTTTGAGTTAGAAGAGTGTGAGGATGTGCTCTTAAAGTGTATCTATATGACTGCATTCATTTTTTTTTCTTGGTGTCAGGTTCAGAGCAATACTACTGCTGGTTCCTGTCTCAGAGATGCCGCACAGAGGAATCATTGGAGATGGCTTTCATAATGGTAGATGCCAGTCCTCCACCCTGCCACCTCTCGATTGGACCAAATGGTTTTGAACAGCAGGAGCTCAGTCCAGACACAAACAACCATGAACTGCTTAGTCCCCTCTGTGGCCTCCGATTTGAAGTGACATTGCCATTCCAGAGGGCTCAAAACGCAGCCGAATTTTGTGTACGTCATGTGTGTCCTCAAAGAAGTAAAGACTCTTCCCAAACAAGGTCTTCAAACCACTGCCCACCATTTCTGGTCACCTTGTGGGATAAACATGCCTACGAAACTACAGAAAGTACATGAGTAGGATTATTACCTTTTCAGAAAATGAATTCTGGCATTCTGAATTTTAATATTGTCTTGTGAATATTTCAGTATGGTCTTGTTAATGGCTTGCTATTATACACAGGAACGGTTGCAGCCATACATGCAGGACATGAGATATTAACAAGTGCTAGCAATGTCATGCGTTACGATATATGACTCACAGTTCAACAGGCGCGAGGTGAATTTTTATTTATAACGAGGACTTTGGAGAGATTACCGGGTAGATTTTATTTTAAAAATATAAAATAAATCTTTGTTGCCGGAGGCAAAGATAATGTAAGTGGATGTGAAAGAATTCAAGATAAAATAAGAGAATAGCTTACAAAGGGCAAAGTATTTTTGAAGTATAGGTAAAGGCAAACATTAAGGCACATGCCACTGATTGCACTAAATCGCATATAGGGTTATTGTAAAGTGAATTATACATTTAAGGCCAGAGTGGCTGAAATTAAAGCATAGCTGATTTAGATATTTTTTCCCATTTTTGGCCATTTTGACCTTAAATTTCATTGTCACTTTGAATTCATCTTGAATTCTCACTTCAGTAAATAACACTGATAGTATTTTTTGTGTCTTTTTTTGGGGAAATAAATCTTTGGGCATTATGTAAAGTTTTTTTTTTACATTTCATACATTTTCATTACATACTTTTTCTATATACATATAGTACATAAAATGATCCTATATATTATAAACACAGCTATTACAGTAATGCCTTGTATATATGTGGCAATCACCTTGATATCACATATGACACATTCATCAGTCACACGGATCTAATGTATAATGCATAAAGCAAACACAGTGATCATACGCACCATACATGTCACCCTGGAGTCCATGGTCATTCTAGAGTTCACATATATCATTAACTATGCAATTACAGTGATCCCATGTACAGTATGTGAAGTAATCACAGTCATCATATGCACAACATATGTAGCTGTCTATGTCTATGTATAATACACAAAGCAAACACAATGATGCTGTGTAATTGGACATGTGTTATTCACTATGATTGCACGTATCACACCTGTAGTCATTGGAGTGATAACGTGTATAATAAGACAATAACAGTGATCCATTTTATGACGTGTTGTATTCAAAGTGATCCTATGTATGAAACATGTAGCCACCCTACCTAATGCCATGCACAATACCTTTAGCAATCAAAGTGATGCTATATATAACATCACATGTAGCTATTTGTAATCTACTATCTATATGTAGCAATGAAATGTATCATACGTGAAGCAATATTTGCTATCACATTTAGTCATCATGTGATCTTGCATATAATATATGAAGCTATCAAAGTGCCCCACTTATATAATTCAACAAGCAATTACACAATTTACCTGCGTGTTATATAGGGCAATAAGAAGTGATCGCTCAAATTGTACATGAACCAGCGTAATCACACATGTTATATGCAGCAATAACAGTAATCCTACATGTAGCTATAACACATACTACTTGATACATGTAGCGATCACACTTATCTTATGTATATATGTAGCAAACAATGAATTGTGTGATGCCATGTGTCATACCTTCAAGGACCACAAGAGTGTCAGGAAAACAAACCCTTTTTCCTGACACTATATAATCCTTAGGGTCCCCCCACTCTCATGGCCCCACTCCTGCTGGGCTGAAGCCACTTACCTTTAACCAGCGCCAGGCTCCCTCGGCACTGGTGACCTCTCCTTCCCCTCTGACGTCAGCTCCCGAGTGGAGCCGAATGCTCATTAAATACGCCCATAGGAAAGCATTTCTCAGTGCTTTCCTATGGACATTCTGCGTGCTCAATGCGATTTTCGCATTGAGCATCGGGGATGCGCCTCTAGGCAGACAGCCACTAGAGGCTAGATTAACCCTGCAATGTAAGCATAGCAGTTTCTCTGAAACTGCTATGTTTACATCTGAAGGGTTAAAACCTGGGGGACCTGGCACCCAGACCACTTCATTGAGCTGAAGTGGTATGGGTGACAATAGTGGTCCTTTCAGAAAACCTAGTTATCCCATGTAACAGTGAACCAGTCAGAAATCAGTGAACCCATGTATGATACATCTAGCGATTACAGAGATCTCTAAAGAAGTGATAGTGATCAGAGCAGTGGTCTTATGTGCTCCCAACTAGCGCCGTTACAGTCCATAATGAATGCGGCGGCGAGGCTCATCTTCCTGTCCGCCCACACCTCCCATGCCTCACCCTTCTGTCAGTCCCTACATTGGCTTCCTATAAAATATAGAGCTCAGTTTAAAATTCTGGTTCTTGCTTTCAAATCTCTACATAATGCTGCTCCCACCTATCTATCCTCCCTTATACACAAGTATGTCCGTCTAGGCCCTTACGATCTGCTGAAGACTTACGTCTATCTTCTGTCCGCACTCCCACCTCTGATGCTCGCCTTCAAGATTTCTCGAGGGCTGCACCGTTCCTGTGGAACTCGCTTCCCTCCTCCGTTAGATGCTCACCCAGTCTCCACTCCTTCAAAAAATCGTTAAAAACCCACTTCTTCATAAAAGCGTACCAATTAAACTGTTAATAGCTCCTGACTGATTCCTCTTCTGCAACTGTCACTAGTCTAATACTATCCTTACCTTTTTGTGTCATTTTACCCCACTCCCTCTAGCATGTAAGCTCATTGAGCAGGGCCCTCAACCCCTCTGTTCCTGTGTGTCCAACTTGTCTAGTTACAATTACATGTCTGTTCGTCCACCCATTGTAAAGCGCTGCGGAATTTGACGGCGCTCTATAAATATCATAATAATAATAATATATACAAAATGTATAATCAATGATTTTATGAATGATACATGCAAATGATTTCATAAAAATATATAAAAATCACAGATATCCTATGTATAATACATGTAGCAATTACAGTGGTTCCACATATAAAACATGAGTCAATGTTAGGGATGTTGAAGCAGTGACACAAATCCCATGTGAGACACGTGGATGTATCAGAATGATTCTGTGTATGATAATGTACCATGTGTATTAGCTGGAGCAATAACCATGAGATTTTTCATGAAAAACATAGGTATCTCTGATTATATATATATATATCACAGTGATCCCACTGATTATACATATCGTTAATCTGTCAGAGTGATCCTTTATATGATACATGTAGGAGGTGGCATGATCCCCTGTATCACATCCACACCAATCAGAGTGGTACTTGTTTCCAGTTCTGTTTTGGAAAATTCTCACTTTATTGAATAATTCAGATAGTGTTACACAGGGGATAAAAACAAAAGCTCTGTGAGTGTTATGCAGCGTGTATACTTATCAATATATGTATTTTGGAGACTCTAGAAGTCAATATGTTTAATTTGTTTGCTTTAGATTATGTCACACATCCCTTTCACTGATTTTCATAAGTGGGGGTCACATTTCCATGAATCTTTTGCTTTCTGTTATTTTGAGAATATTATCTGTCTAGTTATAGGAATGGTGTATAAATATTTTAATTAAGAATGCTGGGGCTTATCGAGTTCCATGCTAGACGCCATACGAAGCACTGAATGTAAGCAATTATCGTGGTGGTATATTGTGGAGTGAGACCGGGAGAGACATTGATGAACGAAGGTTGGTGTTGTCCAGCAGGACCGTGAGGTGTCGGAAACGGAGTAAATACTGAGGGCGTCGGTGTTCGGCTGTACCTGAAGCTTCAAGACTCAACATGACTGAGAGGTTTGGGAGACGGGGTAAATGCTGAGGGAGGCAGCGTGCGGCTGGACCTGCAGATTTAAGAAAATGAAAAGGCTAATTTTGATACAAATCAAAAAACAACTAAAAGATAAGCAAAACAAATATTATTTTCTTGCAGTATTTTAACATTACAATCGCTTTACTTTAATGATACTGTGTTCCTTGCTGTGAAGGAAAGGGAATAAAAAAAAAAAGAAAAACGTTTCAAGAAGGTTAGATGGGAGCAAGGAAAGTAAACGAAGAATAACTAAAGGGGAAGTAAAAAGATAGAGTAAGGGAAGAGTGAGAAAAAAAAGAAGAGGAAAGGGAAAAACTGTGAGAAAACTTAAGAAAAAAGGACAAGGAGAAAGGAAAGAAAAAACAAAGGAATAAGGGAGAAGAAAGAGAAGAAAAAAGAAATATAAAAGGGCCACAAAAAACAACAACACAAGAACCAAAATTAACCTCTAAAAGAGAAAAAAAAATCTAAACAATCTAAACAGGATAAAAGTCTCTCCGCTTACTTCTCACCCCACACTAAAGAGTTAACAGATAGAGCCACCAGAGAACCATTGTCTAACTTAGATTTGTCATTAATGGAAACGAGAAAAGAAAATGAAGAAGTTACGGTTAAAGTCCTTAATGCAAGTCTACAGAATATTCTGGAAGAAATCAAGAAAGAAATGTTCTCAAATCCAGTGGAAATCAAGCAAGAAAATAAAAAACGAAACTGACAAATAAGATCCAACAATGGAAGATCTCGTTCGAAATATGGATTTTCAAATAAGAACATTAAAAGATGAATCTATAAGAATGACAACAAAAATATCTTACCTTGAAAATAAAATAAAAGATCTTGAAGACCTCTCTCGAAGGAAAAATTTAAGATTTCGAAATTTTAAAGAAACAGCCAAACAAGAAGATTTAATGCAATTACTGAAGGATTATTTCAAAGACCTGGGTCTCACACTCAATGGTTATGAAGAGAAAATTGATAGATGCCATAGGTTAAATAAACCTCTTAATATGGTTACCAAAGTACCTAGAGATATTATCGTATGTTTCCATTTGTATGAATTTAAGGAGAAAGTTTTGAAAGCTAACAGAGAAAAAAAACATAAAAGACGGTCCATATTTAAATATTATGGCACTTCCTGACTTATCAAAAGAAGATCGTTTGTACCAGAAACCGCTATCGTTAAAAAACACAATATAAGATTTAGATGGGGTTTCCCTACCAATCTGATAATTATAATTGATGGCAAAATGGAGACATTTGAACTCCCAGAAAAAGTAAAGGAATGGCTTATCAATAAGAAGTTAGAATGAAGAACTCCAATTAATTAAATATGGGGGATGAGGCGATAGGCAGATGGTTAACTGTTGGGCCAAAGGTTTTTTTTTCTTTTGTTTTTTTTTTTCCTTTTTTTTTGCTGTATGTTACAAATATGAAAAACATGTTGGTGTAGATAATGCAAAATTTAAAATTTAGGCTTGATATGCAAACACTTCTTTTAAAGATAAGTGCCTCACTACTACACTTATAGTTTATATTTTAAAGTCATGAATAACACAAGTGTGTCATAAATTATAAGAGAATATTTATTTGAGGTCTTTAAGACATAAATTTTCACGATAATATAACACAAGATAAATAAAATGGCTAAAGAAAAGGGTAATTAATTAATAGAAGGTATAAATTAGATAGCTTAATAATAATCACTAATTTGTATAAATGTTTTCACTAGGTCTTGAGTAATTAATTCCTTATGGAAATATGGAAACATAAATAGATCATTCAAATAGAAATTGTGTTGGGGTTTTTTCTGGGTGTTTCAAATATGAAAAATAGAACGGTATAAGTAATGCAATAATGAAAAACTAGGGTTAATACATCACCACTTCTTTCGGGAAAATATGTGTTTCACTATCACATGGATAGTTAACATCATTTAACGTCATGAATAACACAAGTGTGAAAAAATTATTAGAGAATATTTGGTAGAGGTAGAGATAAAGAAAATAAGTGAAGAGAAGGGAAATTAATAAAGAAGGGATAAAAAGGATAGTTAATATTCACTTTAGGTAAAAAAAAATATATATATTTATTTATTTTATTTTTTTCTCTCCAACAGTATGGGTAATTAATTTCCTTATGGAACTATGGAAACATAAAAGATAATGCATTATTTTTTTACTGCATTCATTTTTTTTGGCCTTCTTACATTATCGCCCCTACTTCCATAAAGTTTTTAATCGTTGGTCAATAAATATTGTCTAAGGAATATCATAATATAATTGCAATTCCACTCCCTGACACCTACCCCTCTTTATGTGGAAATTCCACATAGATTCCTAAATTGCCCTACACGACATTTAGGAAATCATGGACTTTGTTTTATGAAAATGTATTAATGTTTAATGTGGGTGGAGTTAATGTACCGCCACCTTTGTTTTTTGTGTTTTTTTTTTTTTTTTATTTAAAAATTATTTATTTAAAATTGCCATCATACAGAGATCAAAACACATCGTACAAAGTATTGATGAAATAGTCACAGCAGATGTCATGCCAGTACAGTGAATAATGTACTAAATCCAGTGAAGCTGTATCTTACGCAGTGGAGACCCAGAAATGCAGAATGAACAGCTCATAATCTGATGACAAGGTTTTTGTTGTAATATATAAAAATAACTTAACAATAGTAGGAAACCAAATACCAATATATAGAGATAAACCGATCCGACAATACCCTCTGATTGACGGCGAGTGTGAATCGTTATTTTTTGTGGTTTTTGTGTGTGTATTATGTTATGATCAGTCCAAGATTAATAAGTGGTAATTTAAAAATAAAAAAATAAAAAGGAATAATAAAGGAAAGGAAAAAGATAACTCGATATATTGATGCTTAAAATAATGTCAATTAATGTACAAGGCTTAAATACTCAGAGGAAAAGACAAATGTTATATGACTCCTTTATCATAGAAAAAATGAAAATAGGTTTCATTCAAGAGACACACTGGAAACGGTCAGAACCCCAGAGATGGGGGGGAAATAAGTTCAAACCGATCTATCAGGCATCCCTAGAAAATAATAAAAAACGAGGGGTTTTGTTTCAGGATTCTGACCCGTCAGAAAGATTTTTAATAATGGTTTGTAAGATAAGGAACAATTTATACTCTTGTAAATGTCTACTTACCTAATGTTTATCCAATGTCAACATTTTCAAAAATTATGAAGAAAATGGAGAACATATCAAAAGGCATATTAATTATTACAGGTGACTTCAACAACTGTGTTTTTGATATAACAATAGATAAAAAAAAAAAATCGCACTCTCAGCTTAAGTGCCACCAAATATGTAAAAAGGAACCATCTAAACCACCACATCTCCAACAGTTAGATACTTGGTTGGGGTACATCTTGGATATATATATTTTTTTTAATATAATTTATTTAATTATTATTTTCTTTTTACATCAAGCATACATATATATATACATATCATGTTATACATTGCATACATATCATACAATGCATATAAAATAAATACAATAAATACAGAAATACATATAGACTAACAGACATATAACAAAGTTGACCATCCTGTCCTATTTATTCAGCTCTACCCTTAGATTACATAGAGTTAGATTAAATTTCCGCTCCTTCATAGATTACCGATAGATTACTGCACAATATATACATTCCAATATTTAATTCTCAAGGACCTTTATCCAATCATCCCAGATCTCAAATTGTCTTATATTAATACTTAAATTAGAGGCTATTCCCCTTTCCATTTTGCATTGAATAATAATAGATGCCTTAATTTGTGGCCATGAATCAATTGTTGTCCCCTTCCAATTTTTTGCAATAGCCATTTTAAAGGCCATCAAAGCCTGAATCAGCAGATCTCTTTTATCTTTAGTAAGTTGCGGTAGGTTTAAATGTAAAAGCAAATTATCTGGAGTCCAGGAGTGGGTTATATCCAGCAATTTATTTACTTGGTCCAAAAATTGAACCCATGCTTCCTTAATTGGTGCACAATCCCACCATATATGCAATTTATTTGCTCCCTCATTTCCGCATCTCCAGCATCTAGATGTCCCTGCCTTTGCAAATTTCTGGATCTTATTGGGAGTCATGTACCATCTATTAAGTATTTTAAAATGTGCTTCCCTAATATTTAAACAATGTATCGTGGAATAAACTGATTGTAAAGCCTTATACCATTCCTTTATATCAAATTTTATTGTCAAATCTCTTTCCCATTTACCTTTAGCTATAGGATAAACAGGTCTTTTTATAGCTTTTATAATCTCAACACATCTAGTTAGTATTTTAGTATTTTTCTCTGAGTCTATCAAGACATTTAATTTAGATAATGAGAAAGAGCTCGTGTTGCTTCCAAGGGAGCTTTGCAGAAAACTTTTAATTCTAATATAATTAAACGCTTGTGAATATGAAATATCATATATTCTGCGTATCTCGTCGAAGGGCATAATCTTACCATCTACTAATAAGTCTGCTAATTTTTTAACACCAAGTCTAGTCCATTCGGACGTATCCATGTTTTCCATCCATGTATCTAGATTTTTAAAGGTCAATGCAGGTAAGACTTTGTTTTTCAAGTCCAAAAGATTTTTAATATGTAGCCAAAACTTTAAGAGCGGTCTAGTTATCATATTATCCGTCTCTTGTTATTCCGTCTCTCTGTTTCCCTTGATCTCGGCTTGTGTTTTGACTATCCCTTTTTGCATAACCCGACCATTCTAAGGATCGGTATTGCAATTCTCTCTACTCTGTTCTGTCTGCGTGTTGGGGTTCCCTAGTGAACGTTACAAGAGTTGGATACATTTCTTTCCATGGGTTATTGATATGTTAGTTGATCTGTTAAGAGTTTTTTTTTTTTTTTTAAAGGAATAATTGCTTTCCATTGTCTAGCTATTATGATTTAGGCTGCTAATAAACAATGCATAGCTAAACATCTTAAAGAAGTTGTTGCTAAATCCCACTTGACTTGTAATAGAGCTACTTCTGGCTTCCATTTTAAATCAAAGTCTGCTATTCGTTTATACAAACTATACGCCCAAGTCCATAATGGTTTAACCATTTTGCAGTGCCACCAAATATGTAAAAAGGAACCATCTAAACCACCACATCTCCAACAGTTAGATACTTGGTTGGGGTACATCTTGGATATTTTATAGGGCGTCCGGTACCATTTCTACATTATCTTATATTGACATTTAACTAAGTTTAAACAGTGTGTTTTCTTGTATAGCTTTAAATGAGCGACACCATTCCTTTTCAGTTATTTCTATATCTAATTCCTTCATCCATTTATTTAAAATCATTAAAGGTTTATTGTTGATGGAAAATATAAATTTGTTTGATTTTGACGTCACCTTTTTAACATTTTTGTGTGAGAATACCGTTTCTATTGGTTTAGTAATTATATTTGAATTCCACAATAAGGCTTTAGATCAACAAAAATTGTATTAGACAAAGTAATCTTAAAACAATCCAAGAAATTCAATAGTTTATGCAACATATATATATATATATATATAGATATATATATATGTAGTATATGTAATACTTCTCTAAATGAATATTCCATAAAAGTAATTAGTGACTTGAGTAAAGCATATATAAACTGCCATACACTATGCAGATCAGAATCCTGTGATGAAGTAGGGCTGTACCCTACGAAATGCATAAGGCAAATCACACAATCTAACTAAGAGGAAACATTTGCCGAAAAGAGTTTGAACAGTAATTATCCCTGACACGCTAGGATTCCAGACCCAACTTCAACATCCTTCAGCGAGATTGGAGTTCACCTCTCGATGTGAGGTCGGAGGTGAAACGCAAGCTGACACGCACGCCGTCCTCACCGGCTGCCAGGATCCAGAAGGAACATCAACTACCACAATCCTAATCCATCAGGGTCAGAACTACAGGTTTTACTTACTTTTTCATTCTCTATAGATTGGACTATATGCTAACCTCTGATTTTGATCGCCATTTTTAAATTTGGAACTATATTCTTATTTTTAATTTTTTACTAATAAATTTGATCTGTTTTAAAAGTCAAGTCACTCTTCATTCTTCATTTTTGCACTTGGGCATTAACAGAGATTTTATTTTGGGCTACTGGTTCCCTGTACTAATATGCCCAGTCATGGACTCTAAATATCTTTTATATATATAAAAGTATATTATAAGGCATAGATACTAATAGCCCTGTGTTGTTTTCACAAGCAGGGCTAAAGTTATTTATGGTATAATTCCAGGATTTATAGACTTCTTGGGACTTTTTGTATAATCCACATTCTTTGGACTTTTTATCAAAGACATTTCATTGACTATTTTGAATACTATACTTATTTACCATTTATCATTTAATTTTCATTTTACTTTTATTTTTATTATTTGAAGTCTATACCTATTTTACTTAATTTTTAGCTCCTGGCTATCCACACTATATTGTATAGTGTACTATTTTTTATCTGTATGTTGTATAGGATTTGGTGAATTCCTTTTCTTTCCAGTTTTAGAGCTAATCTATTTATTGACTGTATCTGTTTGTGTCTTATTCCCTCTTATCTTTCTGTAATATTCCTTTTGTGAATATCAGAAATTTGCACTTTATATCTATGCAACATATATGGCTTATATGATGCTTGGAGGACTATATATCCAGAAGATCAAGACTACACACCTGTCTAACATTCACGATTCTTATTCTAGAATCAATATATGTCTAGTTAAAGCCAGTACAATTGAAAATATTAATAAAATACAACTTACAGGAAATACATGGTCTGATCATAGTTTTGTAATATTAGAACTAGGTAAATCTATGGCCCAGGGATTAAATACTTGGAAGATAGATGTTTCTATATTAAAATCAAAAGAATATAAAAAAAAATTGACAGAATTATCTAGCTTTTTTTGGAATGAAAATGCCTTCCAGGTTATTTTAGACTCCACATTATGGGCCACATACAAAGTTGTACTGAGATGATATTTTATCAAAATGAAAAACATTTGAAAAAATTAAGGGGTAAAGAACTTGCCAATCTATATATATATATATATATATATATATATATAATTTTTTCAGCTTTCAAATTTAAATAAAATTCAGCCTTCTAAACAAAACATGATAAGCTATCTGAACTTCAGAACAAACTTAATTTAAAAATAGAAGAAAAGTAAAAAAAAAAACTTGGTTAAGATCATATATGTATTACCAAGGCAATAGAGCAAGTAATTGTTGAACAAAAAAACTTAAGAAGCAAACGGCGAATAACAGGATAAATAAATTGATAGTTGACTATAATATATATTCTTCTCCAGAGAAAATTGGTAAAAAAATTCAATGAATATTACAGTAAGTTATACAATCTTGCATTAAACATAATTGGACATGTGTATAAGTTACAAGCTTATACATCAAAAATTGAAATGTGGTATATAATGGAATCTGAAGCAGTAAGAAAGGACAGACTTAAATTCTGTTTATGGTTTAACAGTAGTAAAAAAAGACACAGACCAAATATATAATAAATCATTAATGTTAGCGCAGACTATTCAAGCCTGGGATGTGATAGAAAAAGGTTTGAAATTAATACACAAAGTTCCTAAAACTTGTCAACTAATTGCTTTAGAAGATAACATGTAAGATATATCTCTGAGTAACTGGTTTAAAAATGAAATATGAATAGCCGACATTACACAAGGAGAGTAAATATTGCCCTTTGCAGAAATTATGGCCAAATTTCAACTTCCTAATAAAGAACTTTTTACTTTTTTTTAAGAATACAATTTTTTTGATCTAAAGCCTTATTGAGGAATTCAAATATAATTACTAACCCAATAGAAACGGTATTCTCACACAAAAATGTTAAAAAGGTGACATCAAAATCAAACAAATTTATATTTTCCATCAACAATAAACCTTTAATGATTATAAATAAATGGATGAAGGAATTAGATATAGAAATAACTGAAAAGGAATGGTGTCGCTCATTTAAAGCTATACAAGAAAACACTCACTGTTTAAACTTAGTTAAATGTCAATATAAGATAATGTAGAAATGGTACCGGACGCCCTATAAAATATCCAAGATGTACCCCAACCAAGTATCTAACTGTTGGAGATGAGGTGGTTTAGATGGTTCCTTTTTACATATTTGGTGGCACTGCAAAATGGTTAAACCATTATGGACTTGGGCGTATAGTTTGTATAAACGAATAGCAGACTTTGATTTAAAATGGAAGCCAGAAGTAGCTCTATTACATGTCAAGTGGGATTTAGCAACAACTTCTTTAAGATGTTTAGCTATGCATTGTTTATTAGCAGCCAAAATCATAATAGCTAGACAATGGAAAGCAAGTATTCCTTTAAAAAAAAAAAAAAACTCTTAACAGATCAACTAACAAACTAACATATCAATAACCCATGGAAAGAAATGTATCCAACTCTTGTAACGTTCACTAGGGAACCCCAACACGCAGACAGGACAGAGTAGAGAGAATTGCAATACCGATCTTTAGAATGGTCGGGTTATGCAAAAAGGGATAGTCAAAACACAAGCCGAGATCAAGGGAAACAGAGAGACGGAATAACAAGAGACAAAGCCAAATATCATTAACCAGGAAATCCAAATAACAAGTGCAACGCTCAATGGTAAACCAAAGACCACAAAAGGGGACTGAGGCAAGGGAGGTGTTAGCTTATATACACACAGAGTGTGTCTGATTGGCTAATCTCCAATTAGTGTTAAACACAACATGTGGGAGGAGTTTCTTCCCTCCCTTGTGGTCTCATAGGGCATCACTGTGTGCCAGGTCACATGATCAGGTGCAGCACACATTTAAGGAAGCTGCTCTGGAGCGTGCAGCGTCAGACACACTGCCAGTCTGGAGACGGAACAGATGACGCGCTCACTGTGCTGAGGTAAGCAAGGTTTCTGCGAGCGGTGCTGGGGCAGGTGACCTGACAGCTCTACTCTGTACTCATTTAATAAACAAGAACTATACAATAAATGGTTAAAATATATGTATATTTCTTGTCTATAAATTGTACATGTTTATTAGAGAAAGGAAGGGAAGGAAAGAAAAAAATAGATTTTTTTTTTATGGAGTGAGTTTATATATATATATATAGGTCACGCTTCATTTTTTGAAACATGTATAGGTTAAAAATACGGTCTTTTCCTGTAAATATTGAAAAAGATATATCTTAATAACAAACTAAATAAGTAGGATATTCTTGGTCTGATTTTTTATGTTTTTTTTTTCCTTTTTGTGTGTGATGATTTTAAAGATCATTATCTCGTTATAGAATGGTATTATGTATTAGGAGGTGGATCATATAGTATATTCAATTCTAAAATTGATGTATTTGTATATTATGTATGTCTGTCACCATTTTGTTCAAATAAAAAAAATTTTAATCAGAATAATTATATAAAATAATAATAATAATAAAAATTAGGAATGCTGTGATGTGGAATTTCCATCAATTGATGCACAGGTCATGTAGTTCTGGGTAGGCACTTTTTTTTTTACCCTGCAAGAGTGCAGAAGGCCTAGGAAGGGTTAGTCCTTGGAGATGATGGTCCAGAGGAAGAGCATGTGGTCTGCACCTCCGATGCATGCAGACAACAGTAATCAATCTATTGCAGTCCCTTCGCACAATAATGTGTCAAAGAGCCCAGTTTCCTCAGCCTGCACTCTGACAAATGAGCACTTTCTGTGGTTTGCACTCACTTGAGGTCCCCTCAATACAGAAAGATAAACATGAGTAGGACAAAACACAGACAGCCATTACACGCAGTTTAAGAGCATGCATACTACACACAGCCAGCACATAACACAGACAACAAACACACCACACACAACCAACAGGCACATACATTTTACAAAAAAATAGAAAGATAAAATACTTAACAAAGTTGCACCCCAAAATGTAGAAGAGTATAAAAAAAGAGTAATATTTCCCTTTCAGTTAAAAATATTAAGATTGTAAGAATATTCCTCCTATCTTCTTCATAAATACATAAAATATACAATCTATAAAGGAAAAAACTAAAATCGTGTGATATTGTTAAGTTCTATAGATTGGGTAACTAAAATTATAGATCAGGGTGGTGCAGTAGACATTGCTTACCTAGATTTCAGTAAGGCTTTTGACACTGTTGCACATAGAAGGCTTATCAATAAACTGCAATCTTTAAGTTTGGATTCCAATATTGTTGAATGGGTAAGGCAGTGGCTGAGTGACAGGCAACAGAGGGTTGTAGTTAATGGAATATATTCGAAGCTTGGACTTGTCACCAGTGGGGTACCTCAGGGATCTGTACTTGGACCCATTCTCTTTAATATTTTTATTAGTGATATTGCAGAAGGTCTTGATGGTCAGGTATGTCTTTTTGCTGATGATACTAAGATATGTAACAGGGTTGATGTTCCAGGAGGGATAAGCCAAATGACAAATGATTTAGGTAAACTAGAAAAATGGTCAGAATTGTGGCAACTGACATTTAATGTGGATAAGTGCAAGATAATGCATCTTGGACGTAAAAACCCAAGGGCAGAGTACAGAATATTTGATAGAGTCCTAACCTCAACATATGAGGAAAGGGATTTAGGGGTGATTATTTCTGATGACTTAAAGGTAGGCAGACAATCTAATAGAGCAGCAGGAAATGCTAGCAGAATGCTTGGTTGTATAGGGAGAGGCATTAGCAGTAGAAAGAGGGAAGTGCTCATGCCATTGTACAGAACACTGGTGAGACCTCACTTGGAGTATTGTACACAGTACTGGAGACCGTATCTTCAGAAGGATATTGATACCTTAGAGAGGGTTCAGAGAAGGGCTACTAAACTGGTTCATGGATTGCGGGATAAAACTTACCAGGAAAGGTTAAAGGATCTTAACATGTATAGCTTGGAGGAAAGACGAGACAGGGGGGATATGATAGAAACATTTAAATATATAAAGGGAATCAACACAGTAAAGGAGGAGACTATATTTAAAAGAAGAAAAACTACCACAACAAGAGGACATAGTCTTAAATTAGAGGGACAAAGGTTTAAAAATAATATCAGGAAGTATTACTTTACTGAGAGGGTAGTGGATGCATGGAATAGCCTTCCAGCTGAAGTGGTAGAGGTTAACACAGTAAAGGAGTTTAAGCATGCATGGGATAGGCATAAGGCTATCCTAACTATAAGATAAGGCTAGGGACTAATGAAAGTTTTTAGAAAATTGGGCAGACTAGATGGGCCGAATGGTTCTTATCTGCCGTCACATTCTATGTTTCTATGTTTCTATGTAACGCTGGTGATGATACTGCACTCACAAAAGTAAATTGATTGCAGGCATGTAAATGTATCTTTTGAGGACATAGCCTTCTGTTCTTTTCTCTTATCCCATTAAATATATTGGAGAGAGGGAGAAACACAAACATAGTGTACCAGTTTAAAAAAATTAAACACCTTTTATTTCAAATACACTCACGAGATGGAACTCTTTGTCTTCCATATTATAATGTTGCTTTCCGGACTCAGGATAGTGTATGAGGATAGTGTATGAGGAAATCCTCCGGAGTCTGAACAAAATAATTGCAGAAATCCAGTATAAAGTTAATAAACAAAATATACTTAAAATAAAGTAAACAGAAATTGGAGTCAGAATGTGGTCCTTCCAGCCCTACGAGTTTCATCCTATAAAATAATTTCTTCAGGGGAATCCAGTAGTGTTGTGCACACTGCTAGCCTACAACACACACACTACACACAGCCAGCAAGCATGCACAAATACAGAGGAACCCCAATCTTCCTAATTAAAAACACTGTGTCAGGACAAGTTACTTGGCATGAGAGGGCATGATAAGTAGACTGGGTTACCACTTTAGTCCCCTGGACAAGCAATTTTTTTTTATAATGTCCACACCCTTGATAGTGCTTCATTCACCTGATTCAGAGCCATTCTATGCACTTTTTGCCATCTCCATCAATATATATCTACATACTGCACTATATTTGGTCTCTCATCTTTTAAAGGAACAACGTGACCCTCGTCCACTGTAAGGTTCCGTGTGATCCCAAACACGCCTGCTTAAGAGATCTGAGCCTGTCTAGCTAAGGCTCAGAACCATGTGAGTGGGTCCATATCTTTTATTACCTCACTATTGTCTGTAACATACTACACGATATTATTATCTATTCTATCCTCACCTCTAGATTATCTTAAACGGCCCAAGAGGGGGGGTGAGTTACCTCACTTTGAGCGCTCCACCTGTTGATTGGTTTTGGTTTACTAACCACTCCGTCTACCATTATATCTGCTATATCTGTGTTAAATTGTGAGAGGATTACACATTGGTGGTAGCAGCACATTTTTTCCACTATAATTCTCTTTAAGCGCCTGTATACACAATATTTCTCTTTTGTAACCTTTACATTTCCCCCTCTCTGCTATTGTCCCCCTTCTCTCAACTCATGCCCTGCACTCATTTTTCTGCTTCCTTTTTCCTACCCACAATCGATCTCATCCTAGACCCCATGCACACAAAAGCCACGCACACCTCCTGTCACTATCTCTCCTCCTTCTTCTAGCAGCTGGTGATGTCTCTCCCAACCCAGGGCCCTTCGCCACCTCTGCACACACTAAGACAACCAGAAACCACACAAACCTCATCACAATACGTTTACCCTCATTTGCCAACCTTGCACTCTGGAATGCCCGATCTATCTGTAGCAATCTGAAATCAACAGCCAGACCAACACAACCTTTTCATCTCTAACTCACTCACACTACTAGCACTCACAGAGACTGGCTTTCCCCCTCTGATAGTGCTACTCCTGCCTCTTTATGTTTTGATGGGCTTCAATTCTCCCATATTCCCAGACCCAACAGCTGTAAAGGAGGTGGTGTAGGCATTCTTCTCTCACGTCAATGTACTTTTCAACCTACAGTGCCTTGCAAAAGTATTCACCCCCTTGGCATTTTTCGTGTTTTGTTGCCTCACAACCTGGAATTAACATGGATTGTTTGAGGATTTGCATCATTTAATTTACAGAACATGCCCACAACTTTTAATATTTTTTATTTTATTGTGAAGCAAACAACAAATAGGACAAAATAACAGAAAAGGTCAATGTGCATAACTATTCACCCCCCTAAAGTCAATACTTTGTAGAGCCACCTTTTGCGGCAATCAAAGCTCCAAGTCACTTTGGATAAGTCTCTATGAGCTTGCCACATGTTACCACTGGGATTTTTGACCATTCCTCCTTGCAAACCTGGTCCAGCTCCTTCAAGTTGGATGGTTTGCGCTTGAGAACAGCAATCTTTAAGTCTGACCACAGATTTTCTATTGGATTGAGGTCTGGGCTTTGACTAGGCCATTCCAACACATTTACATTTTTCCCCTTGAACCACTCAAGTGTTGCTTTAGCAGTGTGTTTGGGGTCATTGTTCTGCTGGAAGGTGAACCTCCGTCCTAGCCTCAAATCATGCACAGAGTGGTACAGGTTTTGCTCAAGAATATCACTGTATTTAGCACCATCCATCTTTCCCTCAACTCTGACCAGTTTCCCAGTCCTGGCTGCTGAAAAAAAACCCACAGCATGATGCTGCCACCACCATGTTTCACTGGGGATGGTGTTCTTTGGGTAATGTGATGTGTTGGGTTTGCGCCAGACATAGCGTTTTCTTTGATGGCCAAAAAGTTAAATTTTAGTTTCATCAGATCAGAGCACCTTCCTCCATACATTTTGGGAGTCCCCCACATGCCTTTTCCCAAACTCAAAACGTGCCATTTTGTTTTTTGCTGAAAGTAAACGCTTTCTTCTGGCCACTCTGCCATAAAGCTCAACTCTATGGAGCGTATGGCTTATTGTCATCCTATGTACAGATACTCCAGTCTCTGCTGTGGACCACAAGCACCGCACCGGACACCACAACCACCGCAGACTCCGCAACCGCTGTAGCTTGACTGGAGTCTCGCCGTCTTTCTTCCACCCCGGATCAGCTTCTGTTCTCCAGGACCGTGTGGGAAAGACCTCTTCTCTTCCACCCTGTATGAACCTCCAGCATCCAGGACTGTGTGGGGAAGACCTCTCCTCCAAGGAGAGCGTGTCAGGAACAAGCTCTTAAAAGAGCTAAGTGATTCAAGCTCAGGGGAGCATGCAGAGCATAGCAATCCCCAGTGTGATTATAACAGCTACCTCCAATAACGAGACAAGGCTACCTTTAGAGGGATCAAGAAGAACTGTATTACTTGGCCCCAAATGGGCTTCTTTTATGCAGGTTTTCCCTACATAGGACCACCCACAGGGTTTTACAGAATAACCAATAACATACATACATTACAGAAAACACTACCAGCACTTACCCACAAAAATCCTCCCCTCTGCCTGTGATCTAAATATGGCACACAATGCTTAACATAATTATCACAAGCAGGAAAAATACAGTTTTTATAAATACTCTGTAACTTTAAAAACTTACATAAACCATACATATCTTCATAAAAATTACATATTATTAATCAGCACACTTTAAATATAAACATAACCAGAAATCAGACAAATCCATGCAGTGGATAAAAAGTTAGATGGAAGTCCTATGACCGATCGCAAGCACATTTTCCTGCCCAAAACAGTTCCATAGATTGTGCGGTCGGTCTATTTTATGCAAAAAATGGGCGTTCGAATTGCCGAACGGGACTTAGTCTCTGCAGCTGCAAATTCAGTGTAGGAGAAGGTACAGGTCAGCGGTGTTTGTTGAAATGTGTAGCCGATTTCAGTTCCATGAATTTGGCTACACATACCGCTGACCTCGTGCGAATGAACAAAGATGGCGGCCGCCACGTGTTGGTTTGCATGAACTGCGGCCACCCAGCGGTCGGCAATTTACCTACAGCAGGCTCCCAGCCAGGGAGGTAAATTGCCTGCACACTTCCACTTCTGGGTGGTCCGCCTGTGTGGTACTTGGCTCAGTAAGCCCCATTTACTGAACCAAGTGGGAGAAAGCCAGGGACAAGTTATTTTACAGGTCTGGGGACATAGTCTTAAAGGGGCATTGTTCACCAAAGTCACAATATGTCCCCAGACGGTTCTTAAAGGGCCATACACACCCAATAAAAGTCCATAAGTTTTCAGGGGCAAAATCTCCCAGAGGCCATAGTCATGTGGAAGGAGGCTGGCAATTAGGCTTCTCCACAACCCAGGGAAGCAGGGCCATTTGTCATTTAAAGGGCCAGTTACAAATTGCAGTTTGTAACATATGTATATAGTTTTCTCATTTCACTTCACCAACTTAGACTATTGTGTTCTGATCCATCACATAAAATTCAGATTAATAAAAAATTGAACTTAAGACTGTAATGTAACAAAATAGGTAAAAAGTCAAGGGGGATGAATACTTTTGAAAGGCACTGTATCTCCCCTGCTCCTGCCCTATCCTTTACTTCCTTTGAAGTTCACACTATCCGCCTACTTAAACTCACTCATTTATCATCTACGGGCCCCTCCATCCCCCCCGGTCATCCTAGGCTATTTATTAAGCACTTTTCTTCCTGGCTACCTCACTTCCTCTCCTCTCCTTCCCTTATACTTGGGGATTTCAATATCCTAATCAACAACCCAAAGTGCACTGATGTCTCTCGTCTGCTCTCTGTAACCTCCACCTTTGGCCTCATGCAATGGTCTAATTCAGCAACCCATACAGTGGGAAACACTCTTGATCTCACCTTCACCAACCTCTGTACCGCCTCTAATCTCTCCAATATGCTTTTTCCTCTATCTGACCATCGTCTGCTGACTTTTGACATCAGCACACCCAGGATCCAACTTACACCACCCCCGGCACATCAATATCACAATAAACTCCAATGTCTTCACCTAGCGAACTTCTCCACTCAATTCCAAACTCTCCTTTTACCTATCTCAAACCTCACTTGCCCTAGCTCTGCTAACTTCTTCTACAATTCCACCCTTTCCTCTCAACTAGACATCATGGCACCTTCTATACTTAAATACAGCAAGCGCCCCCAACTACAACCTTGGCACACCAAGATGACTTGATGCCTCAAAAAATGCTCAAGAATGGCTGAACGCTGCAGGAGGAAATCTAACTCCACATCTGACTTTCTCCACTTAAAAATTTATGCTGCCCTCTTACAGCTTGGCTCTTTCCTCTGCAAAAGTAAATTACTTCAAAACCCTCATAACAACACTCTCCCGCCAACCCAAACGACTATTTCACACTTTTAACTCTCTTCTTTGCCCTGTTGCTCCTCCTCCTCCTACCAACTTAACCGCTACAAACTTTGCAACTTACTTCACTGACAAGATCTCTACAATCAAAGGAAGATATCTCTCATCTCTCTCCTTCCCCTTACAATATTTTCCCCAACCTTACTCCCTCTGCTGTTCTGTGTTCATTCACACACACACTACAGCGGAAGAGGTTTCTGATCTGCTCCAGTTCTCCCACCCCACCACCTGCAACCTTGATCCTATTTTCTCACATCTCATCTGTACTCTGTCTCCTTCTCTTGCTTTGCCTATCACTAAAATTCTCAATCTCGCCTTCTCCTCTGGCATATCTCCATTACCCTTCAACATGCAACTGTAACCCTGATTCTAAAAAAGCCGAACCTTAACCCTAAATCCCCGTCCAACTACCACCGTATCTCGCTATTGCCTTTTGCGTCCAAGATCCTTGAAAGACTTGTGTATGTTTGACAGACTTCCTCGAGTCCACTCGATCCATTTCAGTCTGGTTTCCGTGCTCAGCACTCTGTGGAAATGGCTCTGACCAAAGTATCAAACAATCTACTAGATGCAAAATCTTATGGTCACTATTTTATCCTACATCTCCTTGACTTTTCCGCTGCTTTTGTGTCAGGATTACTGTTTGATCCAGCACGTAGAACTGTACAGCATGGATGACAAATAAGTAACGTATTACCGGTCCTTAGATTGGCCGGATTTAACGTACAAAGAATAGTCAAAAATACTAGCTGAGGTCAGGGAACACAGAAAGGGACACAGCGATGAGGAAAGCCAGGAGTCAGGATACCAGAATATAGAGAAGTCAATAAACAAAGCCAAAGTCAAAAACCAGGTAGAAAACTATAAACAGGAACGCGCTCTCAGACAACCACAAGGGAAACCACGACAGGGCACTGAGCAGGCTGAGAACTGGGCCTAAATACCCCTCCTTTAGTTCTGATAGGCTGTAACCGGCCTTTGACCCCAAAGTCAGTTACCAGGTTTCATTTGCATAATTGCTGCTCAGCATTAACCCTTCTGTGGATTAGGTTGCTGTTCGGCACAACTTTTCCTGTGTGGACAGTAAATGTCATTAATCACTTTTCTCTAAGCGGATGAATACATTACACCAGGTTTCATTTGCACAATTACTGCTCAGCATTAACCCTTCTGTGGATTAGGTTGCTGCTCGGCACAACTTTTCCTGTGTGGACAGTAAATGTCATTAACCACATTTCTATAAGCGGATGAATATGTGACATTACCCCCACCTGAAGAACGCCCACCGGGCGGACAGGACCAGGCTTGAGAGGAAATTTAGCGTGAAAAGCGCGGATCTTACGGCCCGCATGCAGGTCAGGAGCCGAAACCCAAGAACGATCAGCAGGACCGTAACCTTTCCAAACAACCAAGTACTGTAAAGTGCCCCGAGAAAACCTAGAATCCACGATAGAAGATACCTCATACTCTTCCTGACCACCCACCACCACCGGAGGGGGAGGAACACAAGGAACAGTATATCTATTGCAGACAAGAGGTTTGAGTAAGGACACATGAAAAGTGTTGGGAATCCCTAAAGATGCAGGAAGAGCCAGAGAGTAAGACACTGGATTGATCCTACGAAGCACTCTATAGGGACCAAGGAATCTGGGGGCAAACTTCATGCTAGGGACCTTAAGCTTGATGTTGCGAGATGACAACCAAACCCGGTCCCCCACTTGGTACACCGGGTTGGCACTCCTACGCTTATCAGCAAAATGTTTGAAGCGTTCAGCAGCAGCCCCTAGAGCAGTTTGAACCTTAACCCAGGTATCCCGAATGGAGGCCAGACGCTCATCCAGAGCAGGAATGGCAGTATCAGAAAATACCGCAGGGAGAACCGTAGGATGCCTACCATTATTGACAAAAATGGACTGTGCCCAGAGGAGTCATGAACAGCATTGTTTCTAGCGAACTCGGCCCACGGGAGTAGTTCGGACCAATTGTCTTGTGTGCTATTAATAAAACAACGCAAATAAACTTCTAATGACTGGTTAGCCCTCTCAGCTGTACCATTGGTCTGTGGATGGTAGGAGGAGGAGAAGGAGAGATCAATCCCCAATTGTTTACTGAACGCCCTCCAGAACCTGGACACAAACTGAGAGCCCCTATCAGACACAATATTGTGGGGATGCCATGCAAACGGACAATTTCACGTATGAAAATTAGGACCAAATCTTGCGAAGATGGCAACTTCTTGAGAGGAATGAAGTGAGCCATCTTAGAAAATCGGTCTACAACCATGAGAATAGTAGTGAACCCAGCAGAGCTAGGAAGCTCAACAATAAAGTCCATGGATAAGTGGGACCATGGAATCTCAGGAACAGGAAGAGGCTGCAACAGGCCACAAGGAAGTGCATGAGTCACCTTAGAAACTGCACACACAGAGCATGCCTGCACATACTCCTTTACATCTTTCCTGAGTGAATCCCACCAAAATGATCTAGTGATCGCGGCAGTGGACTTATTGATGCCCGGGTGTCCAGCAGTTATATTGTCATGGAACACTTTCATGATATTAACCCTTTCACATAGGGGAACGAACAGTTTATCACACGGTTTACCACTGGGCGCCTGAGGCTGGGCCTCCAGGAGGTGCCAAGCAGTGGAGAAGACAGTGAGAGGACAGTAGTGGCAATAATACACTCTAGTGGAATAATAGGAGATGTCACCTGTTCCGGAGCTGATTCATTATCAAATTGCCTGGACAAAGCATCAGCCTTGGTATTTTTAGAACCAGGTCTATAAGTAATGAGAAAGTTAAAACGTGAAAGGAATAGTGACCATCTAGCCTGTCTGGAAGACAAACGTTTGGCATCCCCTATATATGCCAGATTTTTGTGGTCGGTTATGATCAACAGGGGTCCTTGGAACCCTCCAAAAGATGTCGCCACTCCTTGAGGGCAAGAATAATGGCCAACAGTTCTCTATTGCCAATATCATAGTTGCGCTCAGCAGGAGACATCTTTCTGGAGAAGTAGCCACAAGGATGCAATGGTGTTCCCTGGCTTTCTCTCTGAGAGAGAACAGCCCCTACCCCTGTCTCGGATGCATCAACCTCCAATATAAAAGGTTTACTAGTGTCGGGATGTTTTAGTATGTCCGCAGAGGCAAATTTTTGTTTAAGAGTCTCAAAAGCATTCACAGCCTCTTTGGACCATACCGTGCTACTAACCCCTTTGTGAGTCATATTTGTGATTGGGGCTATTACAGAAGAAAATCCCTTGATGAATCTCCTGTAATAGTTGGCGAAACCAATAAACCTTTGAATGGCTTTTAAACCAGAGGGTAATGGCCAGTGTAGTACAGCCTCTAGTTTTTTAGGATCCATTTGAAATCCAGATGCAGAGATGTTGTAACCCAAAAAGTGGACTTCAGGCTGGTCAAATATGCTCTTTTCTAATTTGCAATAAAGTTTATTTTTCAACAACGTCTGCAGAACCTGTTTCACATGGGAGTGGTGAGTCTGAAGATCAGGGGAATACACCAAAATATCGTCCAAATAAACCAAGACAAATGAGTAAATGAATTCCCTGAGTACATCATTTATAAAGTCTTGGAATACGGCCGGGGCGTTGCATAACCCAAATGGCATTACCAGATATTCATAGTGTCCACTACGGGTATTAAATGCCGTCTTCCACTCATGATTCTCTTTAATTCTAACCAAATTGTAAGCGCTCCTAAGGTCAAGCTTAGTAAATACTTTAGCTCCCTGAAGTCTATCGAACAATTCGGAAATGAGTGGGATAGGGTATGCATTTTTTACAGTGATTTTATTAAGTGCCCTGTAGTCTATGCAAGGGCGTAACTCACCACCCTTTTTCTCAACAAAAAAGAATCCTGCACCAGCTGGTGAGGATGACTTTCTTATGTGCCCTTTGCTCAAGGATTCTTTGATGTATTCCTCCATTATTTTACTCTCCTGGGGAGATAAGGCATAAACTGCCCCCTTAGGTGGCATAGCGCCTGGAAACAGGTTAATGGCACAGTCATATGCTCTGTGGGGAGGCAATACATCAGATTGAGCCTTGTTAAACACCTCCTGAAGTTCTCGGTATTGTATGGGAACTCCAGGAGTTTGGGGAGTGGTAGTGGGAAGGTCAATAGTATCCAATCTCTTTAGTACTGGTTTTATACATCTCCCCATACACTCTTTACCCCATTCCATTAGCCCAGTCAATATAGGGATTGTGCTTACTCAGCCACGGAAACCCTAATATGATAGGACATGATGGAGAAGTAATAACCTGAAACGTCATCTCCTCCCTATGGGAGGCCCCAATGGAGATCGTAATAGGGACAGTTTCGTGGGTTATAAGCGGTTGTGTGAGTGGTCTACCATCAATAGCCTCTACAGCTAGCGGCGTAGGTCTCTCCCTGACCGGTATCTCATTACCCCTAATAAACTGGACATCAATAAAATTTCCAGCAGCACCTGAGTCCATTAGGGCACTGCAAGAAAACTTCTTGTTATCAGGGAAATAGATACCTCAAGGAGGAATCTACTTTTGTTTTTGTTAGAGGACAACTCCATCACACCTAAGATCTGTCCCCTTAAGGTTCTTAGGTGCGGAAGTTTTCCGGACGCACTGGACAATTAGTTATCATATGTCCCTTTCTACCGCAATATAGGCATAACCCCTCCCTTCTCCTATACTGTTTTTCGGCCTCTGACAGTCTAGTGACCCCCAACTGCATAGGTTCGGGTTCGGACTGTACAGGGAGGTTAGACAAAACAGGTTTAGAGAATTGAGGTGCTAGGGACATAGCCGTACGTCTGGTCTTGCTTCTGGTGACTTCTCTGAGTCTTAACCTATTATCAATATGCATGACAAACGTAATAAATTCGTTAGGACTCTTAGGTAATTCTTTAGCAGCTATCTCATCTAGTATAGTCTCTGAGAGACCCTTTTTGAATGCTGAGATTAACCCATTGTTAATCCAGTCTACCTCGGAAGCTAAGGTACGGAATTCAATAGCATAATCCGAGATAGACCGGTTACCTTGTGTGATGTGCATTAGGGCAGTGGAGGCGTCATCCTCTCTACCCAATGGTTCAAATGTGAGCTTGAATTCGGCAAGGAATTCCTGGTAATTATGAGCTATGCTCCGATTACTCTCCCACAACGGATTAGCCCAGGCAAGGGCCTTGCCCTTTAATTGATTCATTAGATAACCAATTCTTGCTCTGTCCGTGGGGAATGACCCTGGTGAGGCCTCAAAATGGTACTCCACCTGATTAAGAAAACCCCTGCATTCCTGGATATTGCCATCAAACTGTAGGGATGGTGATAAGGAGATGCAAGGAGTCCTATTAACAGTGGGTGGAGGTACACAGGGTAGAGGTGCTATAGGAGGAGACGCTGCAGGCTGCAGATGCTCCGTTCTAGCGAGAAGCGTACTTAAAGCCTGAGTGAATTGATCCATGCAGTGATCATTCTCCTCTAATTTCCTCTCGCAAGCAGCTATGTGCTGACACAGTTCTACAGGATCTATGGCCATGTCGTAATGTCAGGATTACTGTTTGATCCAGCACGTAGAACTGTACAGCATGGATGACAAATAAGTAACGTATTACCGGTCCTTAGAATGGCCGGATTTAACGTACAAAGGATAGTCAAAAATACTAGCCGAGGTCAGGGAACACAGAAAGGGACACAGCGATGAGGAAAGCCAGGAGTCAGGATACCAGAATATAGAGAAGTCAATAAACAAAGCCAAAGTCAAAAACCAGGTAGAAAACTATAAACAGGAACGCGCTCTCAGACAACCACAGGGGAAACCACGACAGGGCACTGAGCAGGCTGAGAACTGGGCCTAAATACCCCTCCTTTCTTTCTGATAGGCTGCAACCGACCCCAAAGTCAGTTACCAGGTTTCATTTGCATAATTGCTGCTCAGCATTAACCCTTCTGTGGATTAGGTTGCTGCTCGGCACAACTTTTCCTGTGTGGACAGTAAATGTCATTAATCACTTTTCTCTAAGCGGATGAATACATGACACCAGGTTTCATTTGCACAATTACTGCTCAGCATTAACCCTTCTGTGGATTAGGTTGCTGCTCGGCACAACTTTTCCTGTGTGGACAGTAAATGTCATTAACCACATTTCTATAAGCGGATGAATATGTGACATTTTGATACTGTTGATCATCAACAGCATCTTCTCATCCTCAGTAATCTTGGTCTATGAGATATTGCTCTCTCCTGGTGCTCCTCCTACCTCACCCAGCGCTCTTTTAGTGTCTCTTTCTCTAGCTCTGACTCTTCCGCACAACCTCCTTTGTTGGTGTCCCCAAAGGTTTAGTCCTTTAGTCCTTGGTCCCCTACTATTCTCAATCTATACTGCCTCCCATGGTAAACTCATCACATCCTTTGGCTTCCAATATCACTTCTATGCAGATAACACGCAAATCTTCCTGTCCTCCCCTGATCTCTCCCAGCCCCTCTTGACTAGTGTCTCTGACTGCCTCTCTGCTATTTCTAACTGGATGGCTGCCCACTTCTTTAAACTCAACTTGTCCAAAACAGAACTTCTGGTCTTTCCTCCCTCAAGTGTTGCTACTCCCATTTCTGTCTCCCTTCACGTTTATAGTGCTCCACCATCAGCTCCACCACGCAGGCTCATTGCCTAGGTGTTCTCTTTGACTCCTCCGCTCCTGTGGAACTCCCTTCCCTTTTACATTAGATGCTCACCCAGTCTCTATTCCTTCAAAAAATCATTAAAAACTCACTTTTTCACATCAGCATATTAATTAAACTATTAATGGCTCGAAAAAACCCCACACTAAGTCTTTATTGAATACTATTCTACCAATCTACTTCCCTAATACTTCCCTTACCTTTTGTGTCACTTTACCCCACGCCCTCTAGCATGTAAGCTAATTGAGCAGGGCTCTCAACCCCTCTGTCTCTGTGTGTCAAACTTGTCTGTTTACAATTACATGTATTTCATTGAGATTTAGACAGTGTACCGATCTATAACATAGATTTAATGCCTTATTCCATTCTTCTTCATTAATCTGGATCTGTAACTCGTCTACCCATTTTATTATAGCAGTAATTAGGATATCTTTTTTACATATCTTGATAATTTCAAGATATTTTGTTATTAATTGTTTGCAATCATTATTTTTTTAAAACATTTTGTTAAAAATGTAGACTATTTGAGAATTATCATTAATAAACAATATTTAAATATTTCCTGGTCACCAAGATTAAATTCCGTTTGAAGTGCAAAGAAGGATTTTATTGTATTTCCCTATATTAAATGTTGAATTTCTATGCTTCCTTTATTTATCCATGGTTAAGGATCTATATTTTCCATGAAGCCAATTTTTAAAGGTGGACATGGTAAAACTTTGTCTTTTATGTTATCTTTATTTTTAAATGTATACCAATTTAACAGAATATGGTTTAAAGCTATATTCCCTTCTATTATATTTGAAGATTTCAAAGAATTCTGTGATTTCCACATTTCTGTCATTGGGTCAACAAGTCTTGAGGTTTAAAATCTTTCATCTCTATTAGATACCAACTCTCAGATGAAGCTCTATTTATTTTTTATGTCACCGCATGTGCTAATAGAGCCGCATCTGCATAGTCTTGAATAAATGGTACTCCCAGCCCTCCTATATGTTTTTTTTTTTTGTTTTTTTTTTAGCAAGTAGTTGTAAATTTAGTCTGGGTCCCTTGCCAGCCAAAAAAAATCTAGAAAATGCGGTCTGAATCATATTTAGCCATGGAGTTGGAGTTTTTAAAGGAACCATTCTAAATATGTACGTAAACTTGGTGAGCATATATGCCTTCACGGTATTTATTTTCCCCCAACAGGAGATTTGTAACATTTTACATTATTAAATGACCTATTCACATCCTTTATCAGAGGGAATAGATTTATTTTCATCCATTCACTAGGTTTAGTTAATATTTTAATACCTAAATATGTAAACTGATTATTTTCCCATTTAAAATTATGTTTATCTTTCAGATAATGAACTTGAATTATAGACATATTTTAAGGGATCGCTATAGATTTTGTTTCATTTAATTTGTAGTTATATAATAAAGAGAATCCATAATCCCATCTATTGATTTACAAAGATCTTCTTGTCACGTATTCATCCGCTTATAGAAATGTGGTTAATGACATTTACTGTCCACACAGGAAAAGTTGTGCCGAGCAGCAACCTAATCCACAGAAGGTTTAATGCTGAGCAGTAATTGTGCAAATGAAACCTGGTCTCAAGTATTCATCCGCTTATAGAAAAGTGGTTAATGACATTTACTGTCCACACAGGAAAAGTTGTGCCGAGCAGCAACCTAATCCACAGAAGGGTTAATGCTGAGCAGCAATTATGCAAATGAAACCTGGTAACTGACTTTGGGGTCAAAGGCCGGTTACAGCCTATCAGAAAAAGGAGGGGTATTTAGGCCCAGTTCTCAGCCTGCTCAGTGCCCTGTCGTGGTTTCCCTTGTGGTTGTCTGAGAGCGTGTTCCTGTTTATAGTTTTCTACCTGGTTTTTGACTTTGGCTTTGTTTATTGACTTCTCTATATTCTGGTATCCTGACTCCTGGCTTTCCTCATCGCTGTGTCCCTTTCTGTGTTCCCTGACCTCGGCTAGTATTTTTGACTATTCTTTGTACGTTAAATCCGGCCATTCTAAGGACCGGTAATACGTTACTTATTTGTCATCCGTGCTGTACAGTTCTACGTGCTGGATCAAACAGTAATCCTGACATTACGACATGGCCATAGATCCTGTAGAACTGTGTCAGCACATAGCTGCTTGCGAGAGGAAATTAGAGGAGAATGATCACCGCATGGATCAATTCACTCAGGCTTTAAGTACGCTTCTCGCTAGAACGGAGCATCTGCAGCCTGCAGTGTCTCCTCCTATAGCACCTCTACCCTGTGTACCTCCACCCACTGTTAATATGACTCCTAGCATCTCCTTATCACCATCCCTACAGTTTGATGGCAATATCCAGGAATGCAGGGGTTTTCTTAATCAGGTGGAGTACCATTTTGAGGCCTCACCAGGGTCATTCCCCATGGACAGAGCAAGAATTGGTTATCTAATGAATCAATTAAAGGGCAAGGCCCTTGCCTGGGCTAATCCGTTGTGGGAGAGTAATCGGAGCATAGCTCATAATTACCAGGAATTCCTTGCCGAATTCAAGCTCACGTTTGAGCCATTGGGTAGAGAGGATGACGCCTCCACTGCCCTAATGCACATCAGACAAGGTAACCGGTCTATCTCGGATTATGCTATTGAATTCCGTACCTTAGCTTCCGAGGTAGACTGGACTAACAATGGGTTAATCTCAGCATTCAAAAAGGGTCTCTCAGAGACTATACTAGATGAGATAGCCGCTAAAGAATTACCTAAGAGTCTTAACGAATTTATTACGTTTGTCATGCATATTGATAATAGGTTAAGACTCAGAGAAGTCACCAGAAGCAAGACCAGACGTACGGCTATGTCCCTAGCACCTCAATTCTCTAAACCTGTTTTGTCTAACCTCCCTGTACAGTCCGAACCCGAACCTATGCAGTTGGGGGTCACTAGACTGTCAGAGGCCGAAAAACAGTATAGGAGAAGGGAGGGGTTATGCCTATATTGCGGTAGAAAGGGACATATGATAACTAATTGTCCAGTGCGTCCGGAAAACTTCCGCACCTAAGAACCTTAAGGGGACAGATCTTAGGTGTGATGGAGTTGTCCTCTAACAAAAACAAAAGTAGATTCCTCCTTGAGGTATCTATTTCCCTTGATAACAAGAAGTTTTCTTGCAGTGCCCTAATGGACTCAGGTGCTGCTGGAAATTTTATTGATGTCCAGTTTATTAGGGGTAATGAGATACCGGTCAGGGAGAGACCTACGCCGCTAGCTGTAGAGGCTATTGATGGTAGACCACTCACACAACCGCTTATAACCCACGAAACTGTCCCTATTACGATCTCCATTGGGGCCTCCCATAGGGAGGAGATGACGTTTCAGGTTATTACTTCTCCATCATGTCCTATCATATTAGGGTTTCCGTGGCTGAGTAAGCACAATCCCTATATTGACTGGGCTAATGGGGAGATATTAGAATGGGGTAAAGAGTGTATGGGGAGATGTATAAAACCAGTACTAAAGAGATTGGATACTATTGACCTTCCCACTACCACTCCCCAAACTCCTGGAGTTCCCATACAATACCGAGAACTTCAGGAGGTGTTTAACAAGGCTCAATCTGATGTATTGCCTCCCCACAGAGCATATGACTGTGCCATTAACCTGTTTCCAGGCGCTATGCCACCTAAGGGGGCAGTTTATGCCTTATCTCCCCAGGAGAGTAAAATAATGGAGGAATACATCAAAGAATCCTTGAGCAAAGGGCACATAAGAAAGTCATCCTCACCAGCTGGTGCAGGATTCTTTTTTGTTGAGAAAAAGGGTGGTGAGTTACGCCCTTGCATAGACTACAGGGCACTTAATAAAATCACTGTAAAAAATGCATACCCTATCCCACTCATTTCCGAATTGTTCGATAGACTTCAGGGAGCTAAAGTATTTACTAAGCTTGACCTTAGGAGCGCTTACAATTTGGTTAGAATTAAAGAGAATCATGAGTGGAAGACGGCATTTAATACCCGTAGTGGACACTATGAATATCTGGTAATGCCATTTGGGTTATGCAACGCCCCGGCCGTATTCCAAGACTTTATAAATGATGTACTCAGGGAATTCATTTACTCATTTGTCTTGGTTTATTTGGACGATATTTTGGTGTATTCCCCTGATCTTCAGACTCACCACTCCCATGTGAAACAGGTTCTGCAGACGTTGTTGAAAAATAAACTTTATTGCAAATTAGAAAAGTGCATATTTGACCAGCCTGAAGTCCACTTTTTGGGTTACAACATCTCTGCATCGGGATTTCAAATGGATCCTAAAAAACTAGAGGCTGTACTACACTGGCCATTACCCTCTGGTTTAAAAGCCATTCAAAGGTTTATTGGTTTCGCCAACTATTACAGGAGATTCATCAAGGGATTTTCTTCTGTAATAGCCCCAATCACAAATATGACTCGCAAAGGGGTTAGTAGCACGGTATGGTCCAAAGAGGCTGTGAATGCTTTTGAGACTCTTAAACAAAGATTTGCCTCTGCGGACATACTAAAACATCCTGACACCAGTAAACCTTTTATATTGGAGGTTGATGCATCCGAGACAGGGGTAGGGGCTGTTCTCTCTCAGAGAGAAAGCCAGGGAACACCATTGCATCCTTGTGGCTACTTCTCCAGAAAGATGTCTCCTGCTGAGCGCAACTATGATATTGGCAATAGAGAACTGTTGGCCATTATTCTTGCCCTCAAGGAGTGGCGACATCTTTTGGAGGGTTCCAAGGACCCCCTGTTGATCATAACCGACCACAAAAATCTGGCATATATAGGGGATGCCAAACGTTTGTCTTCCAGACAGGCTAGATGGTCACTATTCCTTTCACGTTTTAACTTTCTCATTACTTATAGACCTGGTTCTAAAAATACCAAGGCTGATGCCTTGTCCAGGCAATTTGATAATGAGTCAGCTCCGGAACAGGTGACATCTCCTATTATTCCACCAGAGTGTATTATTGCCACTACTGTCCTCTCACTGTCTTCTCCACTGCTTGGCACCATACTGGAGGCCCAGCCTCAGGCGCCCAGTGGTAAACCGTGTGATAAACTGTTCGTTCCCCTATGTGAAAGGGTTAATATCATGAAAGTGTTCCATGACAATATAACTGCTGGACACCCGGGCATCAATAAGTCCACTGCCGCGATCACTAGATCATTTTGGTGGGATTCACTCAGGAAAGATGTAAAGGAGTATGTGCAGGCATGCTCTGTGTGTGCAGTTTCTAAGGTGACTCATGCACTTCCTTGTGGCCTGTTGCAGCCTCTTCCTGTTCCTGAGATTCCATGGTCCCACTTATCCATGGACTTTATTGTTGAGCTTCCTAGCTCTGCTGGGTTCACTACTATTCTCATGGTTGTAGACCGATTTTCTAAGATGGCTCACTTCATTCCTCTCAAGAAGTTGCCATCTTCGCAAGATTTGGTCCTAATTTTCATACGTGAAATTGTCCGTTTGCATGGCATCCCCCACAATATTGTGTCTGATAGGGGCTCTCAGTTTGTGTCCAGGTTCTGGAGGGCGTTCAGTAAACAATTGGGGATTGATCTCTCCTTCTCCTCCTCCTACCATCCACAGACCAATGGTACAGCTGAGAGGGCTAACCAGTCATTAGAAGTTTATTTGCGTTGTTTTATTAATAGCACACAAGACAATTGGTCCGAACTACTCCCGTGGGCCGAGTTCGCTAGAAACAATGCTGTTCATGACTCCTCTGGGCACAGTCCATTTTTTGTCAATAATGGTAGGCATCCTACGGTTCTCCCTGCGGTATTTTCTGATACTGCCATTCCTGCTCTGGATGAGCGTCTGGCCTCCATTCGGGATACCTGGGTTAAGGTTCAAACTGCTCTAGGGGCTGCTGCTGAACGCTTCAAACATTTTGCTGATAAGCGTAGGAGTGCCAACCCGGTGTACCAAGTGGGGGACCGGGTTTGGTTGTCATCTCGCAACATCAAGCTTAAGGTCCCTAGCATGAAGTTTGCCCCCAGATTCCTTGGTCCCTATAGAGTGCTTCGTAGGATCAATCCAGTGTCTTAATCTCTGGCTCTTCCTGCATCTTTAGGGATTCCCAACACTTTTCATGTGTCCTTACTCAAACCTCTTGTCTGCAATAGATATACTGTTTCTTGTGTTCCTCCCCCTCCGGTGGTGGTGGGTGGTCAGGAAGAGTATGAGGTATCTTCTATCGTGGATTCTAGGTTTTCTCGGGGCACTTTACAGTACTTGGTTGTTTGGAAAGGTTACGGTCCTGCTGATCGTTCTTGGGTTTCGGCTCCTGACCTGCATGCGGGCCGTAAGATCTGCGCTTTTCACGCTAAATTTCCTCTCAAGCCTGGTCCTGTCCGCCCGGTGGGCGTTCTTCAGGTGGGGGGTAATGTCACGTATTCATCCGCTTATAGAAATGTGGTTAATGACATTTACTGTCCACACAGGAAAAGTTGTGCCGAGCAGCAACCTAATCCACAGAAGGTTTAATGCTGAGCAGTAATTGTGCAAATGAAACCTGGTCTCATGTATTCATCCGCTTATAGAAAAGTGGTTAATGACATTTACTGTCCACACAGGAAAAGTTGTGCCGAGCAGCAACCTAATCCACAGAAGGGTTAATGCTGAGCAGCAATTATGCAAATGAAACCTGGTAACTGACTTTGGGGTCAAAGGCCGGTTACAGCCTATCAGAACTAAAGGAGGGGTATTTAGGCCCAGTTCTCAGCCTGCTCAGTGCCCTGTCGTGGTTTCCCTTGTGGTTGTCTGAGAGCGCGTTCCTGTTTATAGTTTTCTACCTGGTTTTTGACTTTGGCTTTGTTTATTGACTTCTCTATATTCTGGTATCCTGACTCCTGGCTTTCCTCATCGCTGTGTCCCTTTCTGTGTTCCCTGACCTCGGCTAGTATTTTTGACTATTCTTTGTACGTTAAATCCGGCCATTCTAAGGACCGGTAATACGTTACTTATTTGTCATCCGTGCTGTACAGTTCTACGTGCTGGATCAAACAGTAATCCTGACACTTCTACAGTCAAAATCTGTGTATTTATTTTAATAAATCCCTGAATTTTAGGATGGGTTCTAATTATCCTGGCTAAAAGTTCCAGGTTGAGGACATACAGCAAGGGTGATAAAGGACACCCCTGTCGTGTGTCATTCGTTAAATAAAACCATGGTGATACGATACCAGATCCTATTACCTTACCTCTCGGTTTGGTTTATAGTGCCATTATTGCTTCAAATATTCTCCCCCTTAATCCATATGCTTTCAACGATTCCGCCATATAGCCCCCGCTGACAATGTCGAATGCATTTTCAGCATCCAATGACAGAGTCATCTGGGGCACACCATTTAATCGGGATCGATTGTTTATATTTATAAGTGATCTCATATGTCCAGTTGGAGATCTTCCTGGGACAAATCCTACCAGGTAATTATGAATCACTGTATCTAATACTATTTTAATCTCTCTGCTGCATATATTTTTACATCTGAATTTAGAACAGAGATTGGTCGGTAGCTGGTGATTTCTTCTGGATTTTTACCTGTCTTAAGAATAGGTATATTTCCTTGCAGCAATTCTTTAGGTATGGCTCCTTTAGAAACCCCTTTGGGTTACATGCAGTGACCTTGGGGTTAGCAAGATTATGCCGTGGCCATTTTGCTGCAGTGACCCAAGGGTTAGCTGGCAAGCACCTATGAAGGATTTTAAAAAAGGGGCATGCTTATAGAAGAAAGTATGCCCAGCAGGATTATCCATCTGTTTTCTTTAATTTCTTTTAGGTTTTCTTTGGATCTATCCCTTGTCACCTGGGACTTTGGGACCCTTTCGCAATGTTTTTAGCAGCCTTTGCTCTTCACAGGTGTTCTAGGGGTCCTCTGGGACATGGAGAGGTTTTTTGCCAAAATAGGAGGTACGTTTTTACCATACTGATTGCAGTATATTTAAGTGCGGGCGTTTGTCTGCCTGTGCGAATTCGCATGCGCCAGCATTCGTTCATGCAAATAGGTTGTTGTGTGTTCTTACAGAAGATGTTCTGGTGTCTGCTGGCAATGACCTTTAGGCTAGGTGTGCACAATGTACAGTTTGTCCTTAACCAGCTCCTGCAGTAACTGTACAGAACATTCTGAGATGGACACACCTCCCGATTTCCTCTGTCGAATTCATTTTTAGGTTTTACCCATATTAGAAGGATATAAGGCCGGTGCTACCATAAGGCGGAACAGGTGGCCGCCTTAGGACACACCAGCCTGAGGATCCGTTTGACTGTCAGGAGGGGAACGCACAGCACAGTGCTCACCATCCAGCCAACTGCATAGGGCACATTGAGGGTCTTGCAGTTTCCTGAAAAGCCTGCTTCTAAACAACTTGATTGTGACCATCTGGTCACCTAAGCCAGGTACATGTCTCCCCAACCACCATTCCTCTCTTAAAAGGCTATTTTCACTACGAACTGACCTTCCAGCCCATGACCAGCCCAGTGTCTTTTCTTAGCTGCTCTTCTGTGTCTTACTGCACTGGCCAGGGGATCGCTGAGGCACAGCGCATCTGACCAAAAGCAACCTTGAAACTTCTACAAGAGCGCTCTCAGTCCCAGAATCAGCAATCATGGCACTTTTTGGAGAGTTAACAGAGGGAGTGGCGGGGCACTGAAAGATACCAAGGACTTTGGAGAGCTTCATGTACCCACAGAAAGTGCTGTCTTTTTAGGTGCCCGGGATCTCTTCCAAACTCTGGAACTCTTCGCCGGATCAGAGGCTAGCCGCATCCCACTGAAACTTTGGACTTCCATCTAATTCGGGCTAGCCACATCTGACTGGGCTCTTTTTGGACCTAATGAGTGCTCCAGAGAGACCTTTCCGGGGATGGCACTGTTGTGGGGATGTGGGTATGGGAACCATGTTTTGTAACCAAATTTTGTTAACCCGGTGCCAAGCTGTTTGGCCACTAATTAAATTATAGCTCAGACACAGACACCAAGGTACCGTGTCAAAATTCCATATCCCAGGCATAACAGTGTGAAGTGAATGCCAATAAAAAATTTCTTATTTACCCTTTACTAAGTCTCGTTTAGTGTTTGGGTGAGACAGCTACACACTCTGCAACAGAGCCTAATTACTCTGGACCTTCTAACACAAAGCAAGGGACAACCTTCCTGGTGGCAGCAGTTGGATGGTCCCTTTTCCTGGAGTGGAGTTAGCATCGCATGGAGCAGTGCTATGAGTGGCTGAATTGGACGACCCTTGAGGCCTCCTGGAAATGTGAGGGAGACCCACCAGCAAGAAATCTAAAGTGGCACTGCGAGCCAAACTCATTGAGCTGGTCAAAACCAGCCCAGCATCCATAACGTTCCTCCAGAAATATTAGATCATGATATTTTATCATGAATCCAGCAATCCAGCCACTCAATATCCTCTGGGGTAGGATGAGGTCTTAAGATAAAGGGACTCCATAGCTCTCTCCTGGCTACACCACATGCATTAATCTATTTTTGCTAACTCTTCCCCTGCTTGGTCATGGCTGGCCAGGCAGATCCGCTTCTGTGGTCCATCTCTGTTCCAGAAGGTGTGCAGGGGTCCCGGTGCTGTTTGGATGTTTACCAATAACTAGGAAGCCGTCCCACATATAGCTCCATGTGTGACAGAGCTCCCGTACAATGACTGAATACCTCCGTCAAGTTTACATCCTCATTCTCACAGGGAACTCCGGAGCACTTCAGACCCAGTCACGAAAGCTTGACTGGGGTCTCTCAGGAACTATTCCACCCGATCAGTCTGCAGCTCTATTCTTTTAGACAGGTATTGTCCCCTCTGCCTGTGCTTCTTCTGTTCCCCTAACAGCAACTTATCAACAGCTCTGCATGCAGTGTGATCAGTTGCTGTCTTTATAAAAGGCACTTGCAGCTCTCAGGCCTACCTCTTTTTGACCTGTCCTGGACTACAGGGACCAAGCAGCAAGCCAACAGGTCAGAAGACTTTGTTACTTGTCCCTGAACAAATTCACACAGGGGACACAGTTCCAAAAGGAACTAACATGCTATACTTTATTTTAAACAGGGACTAGCCGTTGCTGAGTTGTCGTTAAGTATACGGTTGATCCTACCTTTAATTCATCCATAGTTAAAAATACCACTATGTTTGGGGGGCGTGGCCTGACCGTTCATGAGAACAGACGTGTGAAGGTTCAGCTCCGTGAGCGATCCCCGCAAAGCAGCGATTTGACAAGCATCCAAAGAGAGATCACCCCCTTCTCCACAAGCTAAGAAGCTACCAGCATTCCAGCCACCATGGCACAGCGCCTCCCGAAAAGAGCAAAGGCGAAAGAGGCCCCCAACCTACAAATCTCGGCCATGGCCTCCTCTCCCCGTCGCTCACAAGATGGCGCCGAGAGGCCTACATCACCAGCCTCGAGCTCCGGACGGAGCGATATTACGTCGGTCTCCCACAGAGACCTCCCGGCCACGGAATCAGCGATTCAAAAGATGCTCAATGGACTTCAAACGTCCCTACGAGCGGACTTCGCCCAGCTATCAAAAGAAATCAGAGCGGACGTTAAAGCACTGGGTGACCGCACAGACTACTTAGAAAATAAAACTGAAGAAATCATCACAGCACATAATAATGTGGTGACGGCCTTCGACTCCATGGAGACTAAAATCAACATGATACTTACAAAACTTGCCGACCATGAAGACAGAGACAGAAGGAACAATGTCCGCATTAGAGGCATTCCAGAAAGTGTGGGCCCACACGAACTAGGAGCCTACGCGCGCCGGATTTTCCACTTACTGGCCCCAGATCTCACAGAGTCCGCGTTACTATTGGACAGGATCCATAGGCTACCTAGGCCTCAGCACCTACCACCGACAGCTCCCAGAGACACCATCACACGGGTGCATTACTACACCACTAAAGAGGCCATAATGTCGGCCGCTAGAAAACGGCCTAGCCTACCTGAAGAATATAACAAGATTCTATTGTTTACAGATCTCTCAGCCCACACGTTACAAGCCAGAAGAATCCTCGCACCGATCACAAGCGCTTTAAGAGCGGCAGAGATCCCCTACAAGTGGGGCTTCCCAACACGCCTCATCGTCAAACGGAACGGTAATGAAAGACACATCGTGACCCTGGCAGAAGGGAAGAAAGCACTGGCCGACTGGAATATTCCTGTCAACACAAACCCCACAGACGACACGGCTGCAAAATCTGTACCCAGGTCACCATTAAAGACCACCCAAGATTGGGAAACTCGACGCACAGATAAGTGAACCACGCTATATCAGCCTATGCAAACCCGTGCCCAATGGACTAACTCTCACGATATATGCTGTAAAAGTTGCTATGGACTGGTAATACCTAATTACTGTGTTATATATGTTTAGTTCTCCTCGAGCTTTGTGGTATTAGTAGTGGGAGGGTCACAGGTTTTAGGCCCAAGGACCTAGGTCCCCTGCGACACTCTTTTACAAGAGCCCCTCCCTAGCCGTACACCCAAGCATGGCACCTAAAAAGGGAATGAATCGAGCGATATCCCCAAACATAGATATCCCACGTGAGGGGGACACCGCACCCTTTTGCCTAACGACCCTCTAGAACCCTGAGACTATCACATACCCAGGGCAAAACCATAATGTCGCTAGATATGTAAGAGGCCTAGCGGAGCTCATGCACCTCATAGCCCTAATACTACACGTAGTCTCATCCCGAGCCTTTCACACTAGACAGGCTCTTGTCACAGGACAACATGACGATGCTAATACTGTTACGCCCACACCAAGTTTTACCGTGCATTTCTATATTTTTTCTTGTATATATTTTCAATATTTTTTTTGTATATACTTTTATCTCTTTCTACTGCCACTTGATGTCCCATAACATCTCGTTTGGTTGGTGACCTGTTTCTCACCATAAGCACTTGCTACTGTATATAACATACCAGATACAAAGTATAATTTTGCACATGTATGATATGTAGCCGCCCCTGGTTACACTCTGACACTGACTGAAATGCTGTTTCAGGACCTAGAGGCAAAGGTAAACCGAAGGTTTGGGCTATAGCCCGCTATAGACTGCTAGTTTTGCCACACTGCCACACTGCCGTTAAGACACACGCAAACTAGGGAGATATCTTGATTTCTCTATAGGGAATGTTCTCTCACACCGCATATGGGGATCCTCCAACCCCCATAAGGGCTTCAATGCCCAATAACACCGGTAGTATCAGGTCTCACAGCAGAGACCTTTTTAATGTACATAGTTGGTTTGATTTTCCCAGTTACTTCCCTTACCCCCCGTCCTTACCTCCCCGCAAGGGGATCGCGTACCACCACAACAAAAATTTCAAGGATTCTTCCACATGGCACAGGTCATCCCACTCATGCCCTCTAGAGATCCAGCGAGTTACGTATTGGTTGGATAATGCTACGATACCCAAACCCCAGGACCAGCCACCTACCATCTCCTCTCTCCCACCATTCACGATAGTCCAGCAACTCACTCTAGGATCCCACATCAACACACCATGACACTTAACATTCTATCTATAAACGCCAAAGGGTTGAACACACCACACAAAAGACGTATGGCCCTTTTAGAAGCAAAGAAACAGAAAGCTCATATAGCATTTTATCAGGAAACCCATTTTCAAACATCCAACCAACCCAAATTCTTCTCCAGACACTTCCCCACAAACTACCACAGCACATACAAGACAAAAAAACGAGGCGTCTCTATCCTAGTTAGTAAAGACGTGACATTCCAACTAGTGAAAAAAATAGGCGACAAAAAAGGCCGGTACCTCCTACTTCAATGCATTATTAATAACGCACAATATACCTTAATCAATCTCTACGGACCACACACCGACTGCCACACCTTTATTGAACACATCTTAGTTTTGGCATCTGCTTATCAATTCGGGCAGGTTATTATAGGGGGAGACACAAATTTCATTCTAGACCAAACTTTAGACACCACTTCCTCCGCCAAAATTTCGCGACAAACAATGAACCAAAGAACGCGCTCCATATCCCTCCTAGACAAAACGCTACGTACACACGAATATAATGACGCATGGAGAACCCTTCATCCTCTAGACAGGGACTTTACGCATTACTCCCAAGTTCATGACACATATTCCAGAATAGACCGCTTCCTTATCCCCTCGACTCTAATTCCGACATTAGTCAAAGCGGACATAGGCATTCAGGGGCGGACTGACCACTCGGGCATATCGGTCATGGACCGAGGGCCCGAGGCAGTCAGGGGCCCGGCAGCACAGCCATGCTCCAGCTGGAGAGATCAGATCAGAGATCTCTCCAACTGGAACGAAAAAAAAAAAAAAAAAACTATTTAATTGATAGGTTGTGGGGCCCCTGATGCAGCTTGGGGCCCCACAACCTACCGCCCTGTAAGTGTCCCCCCCATGGAGACCTGGCAGCTTTACCTCCTCTCCCTCGCTGCCAGGTCTCCTTCTCCCTGTCCCGCGGTGCTCTGTGTGATGGGAGAGGCGGGGACAGGAAGTGACATCACTTCCTGTACTCGCCTCTCACACAGAGCCCAGCGAGGGGAAGGAGCAGCAGCCAGGGAGAGCAGAGTAAGCACAGGTAGGCTCTAATCACCCCCTCCCTAGTCACCCCCCCTGTCACTAGTCACCCCTCCTCACTGTCACTAGTCACCCCCCCACTGTCACTAGTCACCCCTCCTCACTGTCACTAGTCACCCCCCCTCCTCACTGTCACTAGTCACCCCCCTCCTCTGTCACTAGTCACCCCCCTCCTCTGTCACTAGTCACCCCCCGTCCCTAGTCACCCCCCCACTGTCACTAGTCGTCACCTCCCTCACTCTGTCACTAGTCATCCCCTCACTCTGCCACTAGTCACCCCTTCCCTCACTCTGTCACCTGTCACCCCCTCACTCTAGTGACAGAGTGAGGGAGGGTGTGACTAGTGACAGAGAGAGGGAGGTGGTGACTAGTGACAGAGGGAGGGAAGGGGTGACTAGTGGCAGAGTGAGGGAAGGGAGGGGTGACTAGTGACAGAGTAAGGGGATGACTGGTGACAGAGTGAGGTAGGGGGTGACACAGTGACGGAGGGAGGTGGTGACTAGTGATAGAGTGAGGGAGGTGGTGACTGTCACTAGTCACCGCCTACCTCACTCTGTCCCTAGTCACCCCTCCCTCTGTCACTAGTCACCCCTTCCCTGCCTAACTGTCACTAGTCACACCCTCCCTCACTCTGTCACTAGAGTGATGGGGTGACTAGTGGCAGAGTGAGGGAAGGAAGGCGTGACTAGTGACAGAGTGAGGGAGGTGGTGACTGTCACTAGTCACCAGCTCCCTTACTCTGTCACTAGTCATCACCTCCCTCTGTCACTACTCCCTCCCTCCTTCTATCACTAGTCACCCCCTCTGTCCCTCACTCTGTCACCAGTCATCCCCTCCCTCTGTCACTAGTCACCCCCTCACTCTAGTGACAGAGAAAGGGAGGGTGTGACTAGTGACAGAGAGAGGGAGGGTGTGACTAGTGACAGAGGGAGTGGGTCACTAGTGACAGAGGGAGTGGGTCACTAGTGACAGTAAGGAAGGGGATGACTAGTGACAGAGTGAGTGACTAGTGACAGAGTGAGGGAGGGAGTGGGTGACTAGTGACAGAGTGAGGAAGGGGATGACACAATGACAGAGTGATGGAGGGGGTGACAAGTGACAGAGTGAAGGAGGTGGTAACTGTCACTAGTCACCCCATCACTCTATCACCTGCCACCCCTTCACTCTGTCACTAGTCACCCCCTCACTCTAGTGACAGAGAGAGGGAGGGTGTGACTAGTGACAGAGAGAGGGAGGGTGTGACTAGTGACAGAGTGAGGGAGGGAAGGGGTGACTAGTGAGAGTGAGGGAGGTGGTGATTAGTGACAGAGGGAGGAATGGGGTGACTATCACTGTGTCACCCCCTTCCTCACTCTGTCACTAGTCACCCTCTCCCTCCCTCACTCGGTCACTATTCACCCCCTCTCTCACTCTGTCACCAGTCATTCCCTCACTCTGTCACCAGTCATCTCTTCCTTCCCTCACTCTGCCACTATTCATCCCTTCCCTCACTCTGTCACCAGTCATCCCCTCACTCTGTCACTGTGAAGGAAGGAAGGGGTGACTGGTGACAGAGTGAGGGAATGACTGGTGACAGAGTGAGAGAGGGGGTGACTAGTGACAGAGTGAGGAAGGGGGTGACAGTGATAGTCACCCCATTCCTCCCTCTGTCACTAATCACCACCTCCCTCACTCTCACTAGTCACCCCTTCCCTCCCTCACTCTGTCACTAGTCACACCCTCCCTCTCTCTGTCACTAGTCACTCTGTCACTAGAGTGAGGGGGTGACTAGTGACAGAGTGAGGGGGTGACTAGTGACAGAGTGAGGGGGTGACAGGTGATAGAGTGAGGGAAGGGGTGACTAGTGGCAGAGTGAGGGAAGGGAGGGGTGACTAGTGACAGAGTGAGGGAGGTGGTGACTGTCACTAGTCACCCCATCCATCTCTCTGTCACTAGTCACTCCCTCCCTAACTCTGTCACTGTGTCACCCGCTCCCTCACTCTGTCACTAGTCACTCCCTCCCTAACTCTGTCACTGTGAAGGAAGGAAGGGGTGACTGGTGATAGAGTTAGGGAGGGAGTGACTAGTGACAGAGTGAGGGAGCGGGTGACACAGTGACAGAGTTAGGGAGGGAGTGACTAGTGACAGTGAGAGGGATGGGGTGACTAGTGACAGTCACCCCCTCCCTCTGTCACTAGTCACTCCCTCACTCTGTCACCAGTCATCCCCTCACTCTGTCACCAGTCACCCCTTCCCTCCCTCACTCTGCCACTAGTCATTTTTTCCCTCCCTCACTCTGCCACTAGTCACCCATTCCCTAACTCTGTCACTAGTCACCCCCTCTCCCTCCCTATGTCACTAGTCACCCCCACTCACTGTGTCTCCCCCTCACTCTGCCACCACTCAACCCCTCCCTCCCTCCCTCCCTCACTCTGCCACCAGGTACCCCCTCACTCTGCCACCTGTCACAACCTCCCACACTCTTCCACCTGTCACCTTCTCCCTCACACACTGTCACCTGTCACATATGCATTCACACAGACACTATATACAAAAAAGCACATGTAGTCATCCCGACATGCACAAGTGCATTCACACAGACTCAAATACAAACGTGCATTGATACACAGGTCTTCACAATATACACATCCAAAGGAATGCTGTATTATGAGTTATATTTAACATTTATTTAATGCACATATATTTGGCCTTCAAAGGGCCTGGGATCCAATTTTGCCCGGGGGCCCCAAAGGCTCTCAGTCCGCCCCTGTAGGCATTATTACATGGTCGGACCACGCCCCGATTACATTATCCCTAGCAACACAATACCCCATTTCTGGGACTCGCACGTGGCGCCTCAATGACTACCTCTTAAAAGACGAGGAACTGGTAGCACAAATCAAAAAAGAACTCCATTCATATTTTGTATTAAACGATACAGAAGGGATGAATATACATACTCTGTGGCAAGCACACAAAGCCGTCCTTAGAGGGCAGTTCATTAAACACGCTAGCTACAACAACAAAAAGAGAACCAAACGCTATGTAGATACACATAAAGAACTAGCCACACTCACACACACAAACAAGACAAGCCCATCTCACACTACCACCACACGGATACGTGAACTACAGTCTACCTTGAAAGATATAGAGATGGAGAAAACGACCTACCTCTTAACGAAGTTGAAACATAAATTTTTCCATACCGGAAACAGGGCAGGGAAAACTCTGGCAGCGCAACTTAAAGCAAGATCCCAATCGTCGAAAATCGCCTTCCTTATTTCGAACCAAGGCAAGAAAATCATAGACCCTCAAGAAATAGTAGACGAGTTTAGCCAATATTATAGCGGCCTATATAACCTAGCAAAGTCACAAGACAGTCCCCCCCCTAAGCAAACGGATATAGACCAATTTCTGCAGGATATTGAATTGGCATCCCTCACCCCAGCTGAATGTCATGCCCTAATTCAACCCTTCTCAGACCAGGAAATAATTGATACCCTCGACCAACTACCAAAGCACAAATCCCCAGGCCCAGATGGCTTTACAAACCTATATTATTATACATTTCGGGACACCCTTGTACCATACATGAAATCATTCTTCACCCGATGTTTCCAAACGGGCTCCATGCCTGCAGCAATGCTACAAGCCCACATTTCGACCTTACCAAAACCTGGGAAACCACCGACTCAGTGCTCCAATTTCCGACCTATATCTTTGCTAAACTGCGACACTAAAATATATGCCAAATTGTTAGCTAACAGGATAAGCCCGATATTAACCCGCATCATACACAACGATCAGACAGGCTTTGTTAAAGGCAGGCAAGGATCCGACAATACCAGAAAAATCCTAAACATTCTATCTCACATTGCGGACCAAAGAACTGAAAGCATATTGTTGGCCTTAGACGCTGAAAAAGCCTTTGATCGACTTAACTGGGCTTATATGGTATCAGTATTAAACAAATATGGTTTCCCACAAGAAATGACCCGAGGTATTCTGGCACTATATAAATCACCAACCGCACGAGTGTCTAGCTCGGGCTTCACCTCCCGTCCTTTCGCTCTCTCTAATGGCACCAGGCAAGGATGCCCCCTTTCCCCTCTTTTATTCATCCTCGCCCTAGAACCTTTAGCGCATAAAATTAGAAACGACCCTTTGATATCAGGTATAGACATAGGCTCCTCGACTTTTAAACTATCAATGTTCGCAGATGACATTTTATTGACAGTGGGAAATCCGACGTATACAATTCCTCGCCTCCTCTCCCTCCTCCACGATTATGGTAAAATATCGTACTATAAACTTAATAACACCAAGACACAAGCACTACCCCTCCACATACCAAACACACAAGTCAACCTGCTCCGACAATCCTTTCGATTTGACTGGAGACAAGACTCTATTACATATTTAGGAGTAAAACTGGCGTTACACCCCCATAGAACGTTGTCAATGAACTATGGGCTGATTTCACAGACTTGTAAATCACTATGCAATCACTGGAAACATGTACCCTTATCATGGTTAGGACGGATAAACACCGTGAAAATGGTGCTGTTACCAAAAATCCTCTACGTATTTCGAATGCTCCCGATACAAGTACCCCCACAGACTCTCAAGAATATCCAAACTATAATTGCTAGATTCATTTGGAACAAAACTAAACCGCGTTTACATGTATCCATACTGCAGCAGCTCCAATCTAGAGGTGGTTTAGGGGTGCCCAAGTTAACCACGTATTATGAAGCTGCCATTCTAGACTCCGCTATTCGATATCACGCTCCGAAACACACGTTCCAATGGGCTGATATGGAATCCGATAGATCCAAACCGCACTCCCTACTCCACGCCATGTAGTCCCCTAAGATCCATCGACCACCGAAATTGTCACTATACCCCACCTCTGCATTGATGCTTAAATACTGGGACAGGCTAATGGCTACTATAACCGAAAAAGGGAAATTCTGCCTTAAGGGCCCGATTGAAGCTTTGACCAGACTGACACCTTGGTTGTCCTTAAAGACCTGGACCAAGTATGGAGTGAAACTTATCCAAGACATATGCACACAAAAAGGAATCAAGCCATTCCCAGCCCTGCAAACACAATATAACATACCTAACTCTTGTATCTTTCAATACCTACAGGTAAAAAGTGTCATCTCCACTCACGTAACCTTGAATCCCCAGATCCAACCATATAGATTAACAGACATGACAGATCTTTTCCAGATGCCATACATCTCCACTAAAACCCAAAGCCCTGTCGCTATGCTATAGGACCACACTTGACTATAATACCCCCCGCTCATTCTCCTATGTACAAAAATGGGAAAAAGAGGGAATACCTACACTCACGGACTCACACTGGCTTTCGGCGCTCACTGCTCTCTCAGGCCTCACCTCTTGTTTCTCACATGTGGAAGCACATAAAAAAGTGTTATACAGATGGTACCTCACACCCCAAAGGCTTCACCAAATATACCCCAACACAAACTCAACATGCTGGAGATGCTTGTCACACACAGGCACCATGATGCACGTATGGTGGGAGTGTAAAGAGATTTTACCACTCTGGTCACAGGTTCACTCACTTCTGCAACGACTACTCCATCTTCAAGAACTCCTATCGCCGACACTAACACTCCTACTGATCTTCCCTACACAATGGAAGAAAGCAGACAAAAAGATGGCATCCTTAATAATTCTAGCGGCGCGACATCTCATAGCCCAAAACTGGAAAACCACCAGTTGCCCTTCCCGAAAAGACCTACTTGATAGGATAACTCTTTATTACAAATTTGAGCTTTTAGCTTCCACCTCCCACGAGCTCACTGCACAGATTATTAAGATCTGGAAGCCATTCGTAAAACTGGCTCACCAAACCTCTTGATAGATGATAATAACCTAAGACTTCCAAGGTATAACAAGTTTAATTGGTATAAAACGGAGATGTAGGGTGACTTCTCTTAGAGCTGGACATATGTGGGAACACTATTGCTCTACTAACATGTTATATTGCCACATTGCCTTATACTATTTGTAATACCTTACACTATTTGTGTTACCTTATACTAGTTGTATTGCCTTGTACTATTCGTATTGCCTTATACTATTTGTATAACTTTGTTATTGACATGTATAAATCGATTACCTTGAATGTACCGATCCCCTCCCCCCACCCTCTTCTTTATTCTGTACCCTTCTACCCCCACCCTCTTGTTAATATCTGAAAACTCGAATCTTCAAATTCGGGAAATAAAATTTACAATTGAAAAAAAAAAAAGTGTAGATTTCAGCAGAAATTTACACTTTTATAAATTAACCTTGAAACACCCCCTGACTGTCAATTAAACAACCAATTCTATTACTTCCTGGTTTTCTTAGCTCAGCAGAGCTAAACTCCAGAGGCAGGCAATTGCTCAGAGCAGCTGCCTTGCAAATATTTCTCATTGAGCCACATTGGGAATTCAGTGATTGGTAGACACAGAAAGTCTGGGTGGGGTTAGAAGGAGAAGGCCTGCAAAGGGGACTGCAGCTTTTGCAAGTGGTTTTTAGTTTTACCCAAAATGAAAAAAAAATGCATCATTGAATGCATATATGGTTTAATTGTGAGTATTGTACTAAACAGTTATGTTTATGTGCAATTGGGTAGCCAATCAAGAAGAGAGCATGTGCATGTTGGGGAATATTATCTACACAGCATGAGAAGCAGGACACTTAAAGGCAAAACAAGTGAATAACTAAAAAACAACAACAAAACTTAATACTCTTCAACTGTTTCTGTATTGGTTGTTAAAAACAAAAATACTTCTATAATAAAAACTTTTAACAAAAAAAAAAAAAAAAATACCACTATGTTTGTAATATTTGAACAATAATGTTAAGCCCTCGATAAACCTTTATGTGTGACTTTTTGTCATCTGGTGCATCATACATCCCCAAGAGAGAGAATACTCATACTACTGACAGATTGACAATTCTTATTATGGAATTGCTGGGTTTTTAATGTATAGCTCCCACCTAAATTTAGTACAGGAATTCCTGGATTGGTCTGAACACAATTTGGCGACCTTGACATTGAGTAACCAATACGACTATAGAGGTTGGTGTTCCTGGAGACTAAATAAGACTCTTCAAAGCAACCCGATATTTGTCCAGGAATTAGAAAGCGAGCTATCCCAATACTTTAACCACTTATGGACACATGACATGTGTGACATGTCATGATTCCCTTTTATTCCAGAAGTTTGGTCCTTAAGGGGTTAAACTGAATGATACCACATTGACTCTCCCACACTTTGGTCACAAATCTGTGGCTAAGGTAATACCGATCAGGTGAGTCTTATATCTGTAAAAACAGAAGAACTCTCGCTGCTGAAGTGGCACAAACAACTGTATGAATTGGACAGGTAAAATCAACTGACTTCCTCTTCTTTGGTGAGTGTTCAAATAGCAGACACCCAATGCCAAATTATATCATATGGATTTACAAAAAGCTGAATTTTACTTAAAGAGAATGAAGGCGAATGCCTATGTCCAGGGAAATGGAGCTGGGAAATGTCTGGGATTATGGCTTAAGGTAGACAATCTCAACTAAGAATCCCTTATATTGTATCACATAGTGGACAGAAGGTTATGATCCCCCGATATACATGTAACAAGTTTGTTAAATACTATACCACAATGTATAACCTGAAGTAAAACCCTAGCATCCCTCACCCATCCAACAAGGGCATCAATAGATACTTGGATAAATGGGTTTTCCCCACCCTCGGCCCAGTCCTAAAAAAGAACATATTAAGTACAAGAAATGTCACCGTATACGCAATTATTGTCTCATGGCAAAGCCCTGCAGCCTGATGGTTTCTCCAATATTTATTATAAAAGGTTCAATGTTATCCTGGTTCCACATATGGTGAGGAACACCACTTGCCACGTATCTTTAAACTACACCAAATATGTTTAGAAATCAGCCTGTGGAAAAAAGATACTTTAATCTTGTTACAAATTACATTGCAGTTACATAGCTGAAAAGAGACTTGCGTCCATTAAGTTCAGCCTTCCTTACATATGTTTTTGCTGTTGATCCAAATGAAGGCAAAAAAACCTAGTCTGAAGCGCTTCCAATTTTGCAACAAACTAGGAAAAAAATCCTTCTTGACCCCAAAATAGCAGTCAGATGTCTCCTTGGATCAAGCAGCTATTACCCCACTAATTAGAAATTATATCCTTGTATGTTTTGTTTTTGCAAGTATTTATCCAATTGCAGTTTAAACATCTGTAATGACTCTGACAAAACCACCTCTTCAGGCAGAGAATTCCATATCCTTATTGCTCTTACTGTAAAAAAAAACAACCTTTTCTTTGATGAAATCTCCTTTCTTCCAGCTTAAATGTGTGACCTTGTGTCCTATGTATAGCCATGTTTATGGATAGATTTCCAGATAAAGGTTTGTACTGGCCCCGAATATATTTGTATAATGTTATCATATCCCATCTCAGGCGCCGTTTTTCCAAACTAAACAGATTTAATTTTTTTAACCTTTCTTCATAACTAAAATGCTCCATTCCTTTTATCAATTTTGTAGCTCGTCTCTGCACTTTTTCTAGTGCCATGATATTTTCTTTAGAACAGGTGCCCAAAATTGCACAGCATATTCAAGGTGTGGTCTTACCAGCGATTTATAAAGAGGCAAAATTATATTTTCATCCTGAGAATTTATGCCCCTATTTATACATGACAAAACCTTTCTGGCCTTAGCAACTGCAGATTGACATTGCATATTGCTGCCTAATTTGTTGTCTATAACAATTCCCAAATCCTTCTCAAGTGTGGTTATCCCTAGTTCACTACCATTTAGGGTGTAAATTGCTTGTGCATTCTTAGCCCCGAAGTGCATAACTTTGCATTTCTCTATGTTAAATTTCATCTGCCATTTTAGTGCCCAGTCCCCCAATCTATCCAAATCCCTCTGCAGCAAAGCAATATCCTGCTCACATTTTATTACTTTACAAAGTTTTGTGTCATCTGCAAACACTGATACATGGCTTTCAATGTCTATTTCAAAATTATTTATAAATATGTTAAATAGAAGCGGTCCCAAAACAGAACCCTGAGGAACACCACTTACCACTTTTGTACAGCCTGAAAATTTACCATTAATGACAACTCGTTGTACTCTATCCTTAAGCCAATGTTCTACCCAAGAACAAGAATATTCATCTATGCCAATTTCTTTTCGTTTGAAGACTAACCTATTGTGAGGAACCGTATCAAATGCCTTGGCAAAATCCAAGTAGATTACCTCCATTGCAACACCCTGACCTATACTTTTACTTACTTCTTCATAGAATGCAATTAGGTTAGTTTGACATGACCTATGTTTCATAAAAACATGCTGATTATTGCTAATAACAAAGTTCTTCCCAATGAATTCCTGAATATTATCCCTTAATAGCACTTCAAATATATTCCCAATTACAGAAGTTAAGCTCACAGGTCTATAATTTCCAGGCAAGGATTTTGAACCCTTTTTAAATATAGGAACAACATCTGCCTTCCTCCAATCCTCTGGTACAATACCTGAAACAAAAGAATCTTGAAAAATTAAATACAGAGGTTCACTTATTTCCCCACTTAGCTCCTTAAGTACTCGTGAGTAAATACCGTTGTATAAATCAAACACAAATGGTATATTTAGTAGTGAAAAGAAGCTCTAACACCTGTGTGGTATCCCCTATCCCAACATCTAAAATCACATATCATACAAACAAAAATAGGTAGAACAATGGTATACTTTCCTCTCTTCTTGATATTGCTGTAAAGACAGAGAGGTATACACCCTGTTCCAAATTATTATGCAAATTCTATTTAACTGTCACAAAGATTAAATATTTTGCTTTTCAGTTTAACTGGCATTGGATGGCATTGTGTCTCAGGGCTCTTTGATCACTGAAAACAATCTCGGACACCTGTGATAATTAGATTGCCAGGTGAGCCCAATTTAAGGAAAAACTACTAAAGGAGGGTGTTCCACATAATTAAGCAGAGCACCGTTTTCATGCAATATGGGGAAGAAAAAGGATCTCTCTGCTGCCGAAAAGAAATAGTTCAATGCCTTGGATGAGGTATGAAAACATTAGATATTTCACGAAAACTTAAGCGTGGGTGATCATCGCACTATTGTGACTAATTCAGAGCACAGACGGGTTAGTGCAGATAAAGGCACATTGAGGAAGATTTCTGCCAGATCCATGCATCGGATCAAGAGAACAGCTGCTAAAATACCATTAATTAGCAGCAAACAGATATTTGAAGCTGCTGGTGCCTCTGGAGTCCCACAGACATCAAGGTGAAGAGTCCTCCAGAGTCTTGCAACTGTGCATAAACCTTCTATTCGGCCACCACTAACCAATGCTCACAAGCAGAAACGGCTGCATTGGGCAGAAAAATACATGAAGACTAATTTTTAAACAGTCCTGTTCACTGATGAGTGCCGTGCAACCCTGGATGGTCCAGATGGATGGAATAGTGGATGGTTGGTGGACAGCCACCCTGTTCCAACAAGCTTGCAATGTTAGCAAGGCGGTGGTGGAGTCATGTTTTGGGTCGGAATCATGGGAAGAGAGCTGGTCTGCCCCTTTAGGGTCCCCGAAGGTGTAAAGATGACCTCTGCAAAGTATGTGGAGTTTCTGACTGACCACTTTCTTCCCTGGTACAGAAGGAAGAACTATGCTTTCCGTAATAAAATCATCTCTGCATCAATGGCTGCTATGTGGATAAAAGGAGAGAAAGTCATGGTGTGGCCTCCATCCTCCCCTGACCTCAATCCTATTGAAAACCTTTGGAGCATCCTCAAGCAAAAGATCTATGAGGGTGAGAGGCAGTTTACATCCAAACAGCAGCTCTGGGAGGCTACTTTGACATTTTGCAAACAAATTCAAGCAGAAACTGTCCAAAAACTCACAAGTTCAATGGATGCAAGACTAGTGAAGCTGTTATCAAATAAGTGGTCATATGTTAAAATGTAACGTGACCTGTTAAAATGTTTAAAAAGTTAAAATGTTGTTATAAGTTTATTAATATTATTATTATTACGTTATTTATATAGCGCCATCAAATTCTGCAGCACTTTACAATGGGTGGACGAACAGACATGTAGTTGTAACCAGACAAATTGGATACACAGGAACAGAGGGGTTGAAGGCCCTGCTCAATGAGCTTACATGCTAGAGGGAGTGGGGTAAAATGACACAAAAAGGTAAGGATAGTATTAATGACAGTTGCAGAGGAGGAATCAGTCGGGAGCTATTAACAGCTCAATTGATACGCTTTTATGAAGAAGTGGGTTTTTAATGATTTTTTGAAGGAGTGGAGACTGGGTGAGCATCTAACGGAGGAGGGAAGCGAGTTTCCTAGGAACAGTGCAGCCCTCGAGAAATCTTGAAGGCGAGCATCAGAGGTGGACAGAAGATGCAGATGTTAAGGGCCTAGTTTGATTGAAATAGCTTTTGATTTCAGTAAATATGCTGCAAACACAACAAATTACAATTTTCAGTTCTTTACAACCTATAAAGTGTTTTGAAACTTACTGTGCGTAATAATTTGGAACAGTGCATTGTAAGTTTTTTTATGTTTAAAAAAAAATACTGTTATCATTAGGAAGTTTGTCCAATAAAATTTGAATTGTACTCTTAATAGTTGATAACATTAGAATTATGCTGACTGTTATTTACATCAATTATTTAGGTAAATGAGAAAAATATAATTTGCATAATAATTTGGAACAGGGTGTATAATAGTGCAGATATCCTTAAAACATTAATGTATATATTGCTTAGTAACAGAATGCACTCACAAGAGTGGAGCCATATACTCAACCTGGCTCTTGTGTGGATAGCCTTAGGATCTATATGGGTGATCCAAATACCTTTGTAGATGCTCAGGATACCTGATCCAGTGTTCTCCCAGGAGTCATTTGCACATAATCCAAATAAGGTAAAAGTAAAATTTCTTTATTCAATAAAACAATAAATAAAATCAATGGTGGTTTCTAAAGCAATGTCCAATAAAGTCCAGTATAATACCAAAACGCGTTTCGCCTGTTGTGGCTTCTTCAGTTGGTGTGGATGGTGCTATTGTGCCTTTCAGTCCTTTATATATCAATGGATCCGAAGTTCGCGGTCTTTTTTCTTCTGGTGCAACACATCCTGCGTTCCACCTATTCCCCCGACCACGTAATTTCTGGTCACGTTTATGTTCAGCATTTGGAACGCATCGTGCGTTCCACACAGCTTGCAACGTTCTTCCTGTTGCTTACATTCTCAGTGAACGGCCGGCATATTTGGAACGCACCTTGCGCTTCACTGATAGACATAAGAGTCTCTGGTGGAATATACATTGTGTTCCATCCATAATGAAGTGTTGAATAAATTAAGTTCATATACATAGTAGCATCTATTATAGAAGCTAATAGGAAAAGTGAAGGAATACACAATAGAAAGGAAAAGGGCGCTATACACAAAATACTACAACTGGTGCAGCCTAAAAACACCTCGGTGTATAGTCTCTTATTACACCAAATGAAAGATATAGTGAACAGAAAAAAAAAGGTGAAAGCGCACAAACAGTGGAATATTTTACCTTTAAAAACTTGTATAGCTCCTATTTTCAGCAACAGACAGTAACTGTGGACCCTATATATAATATATACAATTATATATATAATTCCTAAAAATTTCTGAGATCATTCCTGTCCCTGGCCAAACCCTCACTCACCCACTCACTCCCCAAAAATGAATGTGTCCATTTGAAATTTTGGAAGGTATGCCAATGGGATGCTTCTCATAGCGCCGACAACGCTTCTAATACAGAAGCATTGTAAGTAAGTGCTATGAGAAGCACTCACTTCTGCTTTGAGTGAGACAGGGAACCCTCCAGGCTGTCTTAGAGGATTTATGAAATTGAACTCTCTGGCTAATTTTAGAAAAGTACAGATTTCAAAAGAAATCATCAAACATTCAACCCCTAAAGCCCTTCAGAAACTTGAAGAATGTTTGGGGACTGGGCTAATGTCTTTAAATAACAATTTTCACAAGCACAGCTTGGAAGACGAGGGAAATATTTTTGCTAGACAAGCTGAATCTATTACCACTTATTAGAATTCATTAGCTTCCCAGAGGTTAGGTTAAACTTGGAAACATCAACCTTATTATTAATAACATAATACCACTGCATTGCATTCCATTCCATTCCATCATCCCAGTTCGTGTTCTAACTTCACAGCCTGCGGTAATTCGGAGATAATTTAGACTTTCCAAATATGGAGAAAATAATCGTCTATTGTTTTTTCTGCCTGAATGCACACAGAGTTGAAAGGAAGGAGAGCTTCAATAACTGAAGTATGCTATATGTGACTTTCACAAATAATGTACTGTGGCTTTGTCACTTTTGGAGGTGTTTGTAAAAATGTGGCATGCAGGCTGGGAGTACATCTCTTTCACATGCACCACCATCTTTCTTGTGGTGTCCATCCATCAAGCACTTAATTTAGCAGGAGATACATCAAAGCCATACTCATACACATGATGTGGAAGAGTACTGAACAGAAGTTACTTAGACGTGACAGAGCTACTTTAACAGTTTTCAGTCGCCTGCAAAGTTGAAAGGGGTATAGATTTATTGGTGCGCATCACCTCCTAGGATCAGAAAAGGGGATCACTATGTGGGATTGGCAAAGTCAGGTCTGGATTATTGATTTGGAGCTTAGTGTTAGAAAAGGCCAATTTCAAAACATAAATTTGGGGTTACTGATACACAGATAAATCCACTAGTGGAAGAACGGATATAGGTGGGGACTGCCAGTTCAGAGAATCCACCATGAGGCAAAGAGAGTGTGTGCAACTGGCCTAGAGAAGAGATAGGCTCCTACTAAATGCAATGGGCCTAAGGCACATGTGTGGATTAATCCAACTGTTAATGAAAGCACAGATGAGATACAGATTAGAATATACAGAGCCAAAACAACTTTCTTTTTCTGTGTGATGGATAGTGTTTTCGGAGGTGGGGCATATTCATAAAGCTACCGTGTTAATAGCTCCCTGTAGTGGATCAGTGCATTGTTGCGGGTTACCACAGTAACGCTCTGAGTCCTTACTGACCGTCAGCCTTGGGGAATCCTTCACACATACTGCACCTGCCGGGGTGCAGACCAAATAATCAAATAATCAGCCCACTGTACCACCAGGGAGCAACTTTTCCACTCCCTCACCAAGGTAAGCAAGAGGAAGGGGGAAATAATTTAAACTTTAGTTTTGTTTTGTTATTTTTTAAATCCACACTATTGCTCCTATCCCCCACAGTAAAGCCCTCTACCCCACAGTAACCCCACTATACTCCTACAATGCAGTCCCTATATCCCACAATAAATCACATCTACTCCCAATACTGCCTTTCTCGTGCCACAGTAAAGACCTTACCCCGCCACAATACTACCCCTATCAATAAAGCACCTATATTAGTACTACAAGGGACAGAAAGATACACCATCATAAACAAAGCAACGGTAACCAGATGTGCCAAATAAACTGTTAAATATGACAAATGTACAAAAACATGTTCACAAGTGGCACTTATGTTCTAATAAGTAATGTTAAATTGTCTCCAACTTGAGTGTTGCATCACACATCATATATAGCGGGATTCACTATGCAGAACTGTGTGTCACTCAGTATATAGAGGGATTCAATGTGCAGAGCGATATGTGTCACTCGGTATATAGAGGGATTCAGTGTGCAGGGCGGTGTGTGTCACTCAGTATATAGAGGGATTCAGTGTGGAGAGCGGTGGTATCACTCAGTACACAGCTGCATTGTAATCTAGGTTGAAAACAGACTAAAGACCAGCAAGATCAATATTTGAAACCCATTCTTTTAATCGGCTGATACAAAAGAAGATCTCTTCTCCATGAACCCCATGGACCCCATGGGAGAAAGAGAGGAGGCAGGTGGCGAGGGAGCACTGACGTATTTCCAGTTCCTCTCTGCTCCCTTGTCTTGTGCGCCATCTGTAGTGATGCCAGGAGCCCGAATATGCTGTCACTGAAGCCCCAGCATCACTACAGAGGGCTTGCAAGAGAGCAGAGAGAAATTGGAAGATCCATTTCCCTCTGGGCACCAGAGAGGAGATCCCCCCCTGGACCGCAAGGAGAAGATCTCTTCCAACCCTGGATCTCACGGAGATCCCATGTAGAAGATCCCCCCGGATCCCATGTAGAAGATTCCCCCACCAGACCCCAAGGAGAAGACCCCCTCGCCCTAGACCACATGGAGAAGACCCAACTGGACCCCAGGGAGAAGATCCCTCCCCCGTACCTAAGGGAGAAGATCCCCACTGGACCCCAGGGAGAGGACCCACACTAGTTTTGCTAAAGTTTGGGAGGCTGGATATGCCTAAAAAAGAAAATCAAACTAACTTATTTGTGTTCTATGAAAAAGTCAGTAGAAATATAGATTTGGGGTTTCAAGTGGATTGGATCTATTTGGATTTTGCAAAAGCATTTCATATTTTAGTTCCACACAAAAGGTTAATATTAATACTGAAATTGGCTTACATGGAAGATTTGTGTTCTTGGATAGAACACTGGCCTAAAGATAGAATACAGAGAGTAGTTTTAAAAAGAACATTTTTGAACTGGATAAAAGTGGTAAGTGGAGTCCCTTTAGGGTTCATTCCTGGGTGTACTGCTCTTTAATTTGTTTATAAATGAAGTGGGCATTGAAACTGGGCTAGCAATTGGTAGATGAGATTCAATAAAGGTAAATGCAAAGTCATGCATTTTGGAATAAGGAACCCACAAGAAGCCCACAAATTAAAGGGACACTATAGTCACCAGATCAACCACTGCTTATTGTATTTGTTCTGCCCTTCAGGCTTTTTGCAGTAAACACTGTCTTTTCAGAGAAAATGCAATGTTTACATTACAGCCTAGGGATACCTCCATTGGCCACTCCTCAGATGGCTACTAGAGGTGCTTCCTGGGTCGGTGCTGCACAGTGTGCACTGACATTCAGAGTCTCCACCCTCTGCATGCAGACACTGAACTTTCCTCATAGAGTTGCATTGAGTCAATGCATCTCTGTGAGGAGATACTGATTGGCCAGGGCTGTGTTTGGCTTGAGCTGGCTCTGCCACGATCTGCCTCCTTGGCAATCTTAGACAATCAATTCGCTTTCATCAACACTTTTGATTATGTCAGCCAAGTAGGCAGAATAGGGGAAGAGCCAGCAGCAGCAGACTAGAGAAAATGTAATATTTTACTATATTTAGGGAGGACAAGTGGGGGGAGGTAGAGGGCGGGCAGGGGGGCTAGATTGTGGTTTTAACATTATAGGGTCAGGAACAGGGCCGTCTTTAATATTGATTGGACCCTGGGCAAGCATCTGCTTGGGCCCCCTGGGCATGCAATCACTCCCTCCACCCCAACCTAGAGGCGAAACTAATGTAGAGAGTGCCTTGGTGCAAAAAAAATAATAATTCAGGCCTGCCCTGTAGCACAAGAGTAAAGAAAAGATAGATCCCCATCTGTCATACAACTCCTGCGATGCTTTGCCAGGTGGGGATCTACCATCCTTGCAGGGTTGTATTTTTGAGCAGTGTTTGTGCAATTGAATGTCAGCATGTTATTGTATAGAGTGTATGTGTGCATGTAGGGGTGTATTTGTATGTACTGTTACCATTGGAATGCAGTGGTGTACTTGTGTGTAGTGTTTGCGTTTGAATGCAGTAATGTGTGATTGTCTGTAGTGTTGGCTTTTAAATGCAGGTGTACTTTTGTGTGTAGAGTTGGTGTTTGTATATAATTTTAGCATTTTAATACAGGAATGTGTTTGTATGTAATGTTTGTATTTGCATGCAGGGGGTTGTTTGGATGTAGTGTTGGGTACATTTGTGTGTAGTATTGGTGTTTCAGCAAACTGGTGTGTTTGTATGTAATGTTTGTGTTTGCAGGGATCTGTTTGCATGTTGTGTGATTTCTATAACACATATACACATACACATTAACACGCAGATACACACATAGGCACACTGACACATGCTCACACCTTGACACATACTGGCACATACACACACACACTCAGATACACACCCTTTGACACACTGATACAAGCACTTTGATACACACACACACTGGCACATCCACACACAGAGGTACACACACACACTGACACAGGTATGTACACACACACTCAGATACACACATACATAAAGGTATAAATGCAGGGGTGTATATGTGTACAGTGCTAGAGATGGAGTGTATTTGTGTTGGCATTAAAATTCTGGGATGTATGCATTACCACACACTCAGATGCACACTTACACACACTGACACATACATACACACACACACACACAAACACACACACACACACACAGGTACACATACACACTGACACACAAGTACACATACACATGTATACATACACACAGAAACACTGACACACAGACAAACACAGCCAGATACAAACACTGACACAAACACAGCCAGATACACACACTGACACAAACACAGCCAGATACACACAAGGACATAAACACAGCCAGATACACATACACATATATGTGTACATTTACATATTTTAATCTCTGCCTTCTAGCAGCTCTTGGACAGCAACTCCCAGCAACCTTGGCCATAATAATGTCTCAACTCTGTTCTTACATACCCTGGTCCAGAATTTGGCAAAAGTGACATTTGGAAATGGTATACAGCCTTTGATAACACTTGATGCAATAATATGTTAAAATAAATACTTTGAAAATGTATATTTAATAGGGAACTGTCGGGTTCTTCTAGGATTTTTAACATGTACTTATTCCCTGTGTGTTACATTACAAACACCAACACTTGAATAAAAGTGATATCAGAAATAAGCAAAACAAAAAAACAAAGCATATTTAGCCACCCTCCTGTCTCCTTACCTTTTGGGTACAGAAAGGTGGCTTCCCTGGGGTCCAGTGGGAGCTTGTTGGCCCAGGCTGATGGGAGTCTGCCATCAGCTTTCTCAGTCCCTCTCCCCAACAATGCTTGCATCCTCCTCCGTGTGGTGTGTGCCTCCTCCCCAGCGGCACTGAGGAGGAAGTGATCTGACCTCACTTCCTCCCAGCATGCCACGGGGAAGAAAAGGGATCACAGGGCAGTGTGTGAGGGGCTAGCTGTGTGTTTGTATTCAGCCAACCTCCATATTACCAGGGCCCGGTCCAGAGCAGTATTAAAGGGCTGTGGCCCCTGATTACCTCAGGTGCTGCAGGGGGGCCCATGGGGCAGCTGCCTTAGGGCCCCCAGGAGTAACTGGGCCCGGGGCAGCTGCCCCTTTTGCCCCTCCTTAAAGACGGCCCTGGTCAGGAATACACGTTTGTGTTCAAAACCCTATAGTGTTCCTTTAGGACTCCTTAACTGAATTATCTGCCTGACACCAAGAATCATTGCACAATAGCTATTATACAAAAAACAAATTAGTTTCTGTTGTACCTTTTATGCAATAACTCAACTCCCAGACACAAAGGTTCTAATACAATTATCCCCTGAACATAACAAAAACCTTCTCTGTTTTACATTTTGTACAATAATTAAACAATGACATAACATATCCTCACATGCTATCGTAGGCGTGCCCAGCCTATTGTATAAGGGTGTGCACCCTAAAGCAGAAACACACACACTGCGTATATATATATATATATATATATATATATACACACATATATACACATACATACACACACACACACTGCTGTGTGTGTGAGGGTGCTGTGTGTAGGCGCTTTGTGTGTGTGTAGGTGCTGTGTGAAGGCGCTGTGTGTGTGCAGGCGCTGTGTGTGTGTGCGGGCGCTGTGAGTGTGTGAAGGTGCTGTGTGTGTAAGAGTGCTGTTAGTGTGTGCTTTGTGTGTAAGGGTGCTGTTAGTGTGTGCTGTGTGTGTATGTGTAAGGATGCTGTGTGTGTAAGGGTGCTGTTAGCTGTGTGTGTGAGGGTGCTGTGCTGCTGTTAGTGTGTGCTGTGTGTAGTGGTGCTGTGTGTAAGGGTGTTGCTGTTAGGGTGTGTGCTGTGTGTATGTGTTAGTGTGTGCTTGTGTGTGTAAGGGTGCTGTTAGTGTGTGCTGTGTGTGGGTGCTGTTATGTGTAAGGGTGCTGTGTGTGTAAGGGTGATGTTAGTGTGTGCTGTGTGTGTGAGGGTGCTGTGTGTAAGGGTGCTGTTAGTGTGTGCTGTGTGTATGTGTATGTGTGAGGGTGCTGTGTGTGTAAGGGTGTTGCTAGTGTGAGGGTGCTGTTAGTGTGTGTGTGTAAGGGTGTTGTTAGTGTGTGCTGTGTGTAAGGGTGCTGTGTGTGTTAGGGTGCTGTGTGTAAGGGTGCTGTTAGTGTGTGTTTATGTATGAGGGTGCTGTGTGTGTAAGGGTGTTGTTAGTGTGAGGGTGCTGTTAGTGTGTGTGTGTAAGGTTGATGTATGTGTGTGTGTGCTGTATGTTTGTGTGTAATGTGTGGGAGTGTGGGGGCCGTTTAGTTAATATCCCCCCTCCCTTCTTACCTTATGTAGGGAGGGGGGACTGTGCTCCTGCCTTCCCTGGTGGTCCAGTGGAGAGTGAACTCTAGCCCCCTGTGGGGCTAGAGTTCACTCTCGCGAGATCTGAGCACTGCCGATCCGACCACGCGAGAGGAACCCGGCGGAGCTGCTGACAAAAGCTCCCCGGGTCTTCTCCTGCCTCCCTCCCTGCCTGTGGGTTGGTAATGTTTTTAAGATGGAAGCAGCTGGATTTGGCGATGGACTGGACATGAGGGGTGAAAGTGAGGTCGGAGTCAAAGAGAACACCTAGGCATCAAGCCTGTGTGGTGGTACTGACGGTAGCACCATTAACGTGGAGGGAGACAGAAACGGGGGTAACAACACTCAAGGGAGGAAAGACCAGAAGTTCTGTTTTGGACAAGTTGAGCTTAAGGAAGTGGGCAGCCATTCAGTTAGAAATAGCAGAGAGGCAGTCAGAGACACTAGTCAAGAGGGGCTGGGAGAGATCATGGGAGGACAAATAGATTTGCATGTCATCTGCATAGAAATGATATTGGAAACCAAAGGAGCTGATGAGTTTACCAAGGGGGGCAGTATAGATCGAGAACAGTAGGGGACCAAGGACTGAACCTTGGGGACACCAACAGAGAGTGGTTGGGAGGAAGAGACAGAGCCAGAAAAAGAGACACTAAAAGAGCCCTGGGTGGGGGAGGAGGAGCACCAGGAGAGAGCAATATCTCGTAGACCAAGATTACGGAAGATGAGAAGAAGCTGTTTATGATCCAACAGTATCAACAGTATCAAAAGCAGCAGAAAGGTCAAGGAGATTTAGGATAGAGTAGTGACCATGAGATTTTGCAGCGAATAGCGAATAGATCGTTTGATACTTTGGTCAGAGCTGTTTCCACAGAGTGCTGAGCGTGGGAACCAGCCTGCAGAGAATTGGACTCGAGGAAATCTGTCAATCTCACATACACAAGTCTTTCAAGGATCTTAAACGCAAAAGGCAATAGCAGAATAGGAGAATAGGGCGGTAGTTGGACGGGGAGTGAGGGTAAAGGTTGGGCTTTTTTAGAATAGGGATTACAATTGCATATTTGTAAGGGTAATGGAAATATACCAAAGGAGAGGGAGAGATTTAGAACTCTTCTGCTGTAGCGGGTGTGAATGAACATAGAACAGCAGAGGGAGTGAGGTTGAGGGAAATATTGTAAGGGGAAGGAGAGAGATGAGACATCTCTTCACTTATTGCAGAGATCTTGTTAGTGAAGTAAGCTGCAAAGTTTGTGGCGGTCGGAGAAGGAGGAGGAGCAACAGGGCAAAGAAGAGAGTTAAAAGTGTGAAAAAGTTGTTTGGGTTGGCAGGAGAGTGTGGTTATTAGGGTATTGAAGTAATTTATTTTTGCAGAGGAAAGAGCCAAGCTGTAAGAGCGCAGCATAAATCTATAGTGGAGAAAGTCAGATGCGGAGTGAGACTGTCTCCAGCAGCATTCAGCAGTTCAGGAGCATTTTTGAAGGTATCGAGTCAGCTTGGTGTACCAAGGTTGTAGTTGGGGGCGTTTGCTGTGTAGGAGGTCCCATAATGTCTAGTTGAGAGGAGAGGCTGGAATTGTAGAAGGAGATTGCAGAGCTAGGGCAGGTGAGGTTTGAAATAAATACAAGGAGAGTTTGGAGGTTAGTGGAGAAGTTCTCTAGGTCAAGACATTGGAGTTTTTTGTGATATTGATGTGCCGAGGGTGGTGTCAGTTGGATCCTGGGTGTGCTGATGTCAAAAGTCAGCAGATGGTGGTCAGATAGAAGAAAAGGAATATTGGAGAGATTTGGAGCTTAGTGGAGAGGTTCTCTAGGTCAAGACATTGGAGTTTTTTGTGATATTGATGTGCCGAGGGTGGTGTCAGTTGGATCCTGGGTGTGCTGATGTCAAAAGTCAGCAGATGGTGGTCAGATAGAAGAAAAGGAATATTGGAGAGATTAGAGGCGGTACAGAGGTTGGTGAAGGCGAGGTCAAGAGTGTTTCCCGCTGTATGGGTTGCTGAATTAGACCATTGCGTGAGGCCAAAGGAGAAGGTTACAGAGAGCAGACGAGAGGCATCAGTGCAATTGGGGTTGTTAATTGGAATATTAAAATCCCGAAGTATAAGGGAAGGAGTGCTAGAGGAGAGGAAGTAAGATAGCCAGGGAGAAACGTGCTCAATAAATAGCCTAGGATGACTACGGGAGCTGTAGATGATAGCAATTCTTAAAGGAGTGGGTTTAAATAGGCAGACAGTGTGAACTTCAAAGGAAGTAAAGGATAGGGCAGGGGAGATTGGTTGAAAGGTACATTGAGGGAAGAGAAGGATGCCTACACCACCTCCTTTACAGTTGGGCCTTGGAGTGTAGGAGAATTGTAGCCCACCAAAACATAAAGACGAAGGAGTAGCACTATCAGAGGGGGAAAGCGAGGTCTCTGTGAGTGCTAGTAGTGTGAGTGACTTTGAGATGAAAAGGTTATGTATGGCTGTTGATTTCAGATTGGTGCAGTTTTACTGGGTCGCGGCTGTTCTCTGATCCGCTTTAGAGTTCCAGGCCATTTGTGCATAAGTCCCGATCATCCTCTCAGGCCTCTAGTGGGTCCAGGGCAAGCAGCTCCCTCAAGTCCAAGGTGTCCTTTGATGCCTCTCTTTCTCCCTGATCTCCCCTCTAAACAGCGTTTTAGTAGGTGACTCTGGGATCGAGAGCACTCTCTACAACATTTAACTGGCAGAGGCAACTCCATGATCCGACCGAGAGTTCCACAGAGTTTGAGGGTTGCTCCCAGTCAGGTGTGTCGTGCCTCTGTAGTCTCCCCGCCGGCTTATGGTAACTCATGGGCCCCGGGAAAAAGGAGCTGCAAGACACGGACTGGAAGGGTAATTGTGGTGACTATAATCCTTTCAGGAAGGACATGGCTTGGAGACCTGCACCAGTTGTTATATAGCAATGTGAATAAACTACTTAGTTCAACAGACAAAATGGATCTCTAGATCCAGGTCCACAGTCTTTGGGCAGGAGGAAAGCCTTCACCACAAAGATGTTTTACATTGGCACTCAACTCTCTCAAGTGCCAGTTTTGCCATCGTGCCATTTTCCTGGGTGTATTTCTATTGTAACACCCAATGTAACATGTGTATGCACCGTGAAATTCTCTCTGGGAGCATGTTGGGGTATCTCTGTGAGAGTGTATCCCAGTCTGGGAGTGTGTTGGGGTATCTCTGTGAGAGTGTATCGCAGTCTAGGAGTGTGTTGGGGTATCTCTGTGAGAGTGTATCGCAGTCTGGGAGTGTGTTGGGGTATCTCTGTGAGAGTGTGTTGGGGTATCTCTGTGAGAGTGTATCGCAGTCTGGGAGTGTGTTGGGGTATCTCTGTGAGAGTGTATTGCAGTCTGGGAAAGTGTTGGGGTATCTCTGTAAGAGTGTATCACAGTCTGGGAGTGTGTTGGGGTATCTCTGTGAGAGTGTATTGCAGTCTGGGAGTGTCTTGGGGTATCTCTGTGAGAGTGTATCGCAGTCTGGGAGTGTCTTGGGGTATCTCTGTGAGAGTGTATCGCAGTCTGGGAGTGTGTTGGGGTATCTCTGTGAGAGTGTATTGCAGTCTAGGAGTGTGTTGGGGTATCTCTGTGAGAGTGTATTGCAGTCTAGGAGTGTGTTGGGGTATCTCTGTGAGAGTGTATCGCTGTCTGGGAGTGTGTTGGGGTATCTCTTTGAGAGTGTATTGCAGTCTGGGAGTGTGTTGGGGTATCTCTGTGAGAGTGTATTGCAGTCTGGGAGTGTGTTGGGGTATATCTGTGAAAGTGTATCGCAGTCTGGGAGTGTGTTTGGTGGCACAGGCAATTGTTTGGTAGTGGGCACCTAGAACTCTAATAGTGGCCTTGATCATGAAGAAGCACGCTGTGCTCCTTGCCTGTTTTAATACACTTTTCAATGAGCCGCACTGCAGCTCAAATACATGATTGGTCAGTTGTGTGCATTTACAATTTTTCTCACGGCTTCTTAAAGAGAAACCTCTGCTTGGGCCAATGTCCAGCACAGGTGAGGGCTAACAGTAACTGTAAAAATATGCAACAATAAAATCAAATTCTTTTTTTTTGCGGGGTTGCATATCAACTAAATATTTGTTTTTTTTACCCCATGGGGTGAGCAAGTATGCATTATGTCTAAATATGAATAACAGCTAGCCACTGTGACCCAGAGGGGCCCACAGTCTCTGTGTGCCAATTGGCTGGGAGTAAAATGATAAAAGAAATATCCAAATTAGACCATTATAACTCTCTCGAGATATACATATATTTATATTATATAACATTTTTATGTTGTTTTGTTTCAGTGTTCTTGCGTATCACTTATCTTACATTTTTGTTTCTTCCCAAAGTAGACTTGGCTACCAGAACTACACGTCCCGTCGGGCCTAACGCTCTGACAGGAAGTGATGTAAGGGAAGTTGTCCTTGGACTAGCCTAGCGCTGTAAGCATGGCGGCGCCTATACAGAACCACGTGTGGGTCGGTACCGAGACTGGAATATTAAAAGGTCAGAGGTCACGATCACAATACCGATTAGTTGACAATATGAGGCTGGGCATGGTGATTGTAATTTCGTATAAATAAGGTGCATTTATATTGAGTATGAAACGTATGTATTCTGTTGTGGGAAGGGAGGGTGTATTCTAGATAATAAATGTACTTTTTACTTGTGACCGTTTATATCATTAAAGTGTTTAAGATTTGCGTTCTAAGGAGAAAGGTGTAATTACTGTTTAGACTCATTTAACTAGTAGCCATTACATGCTATACTGATACATGCACACGTGAATCAGTGAATATCCTGTCTGGATTTGTGTTTTAATGCTGTTCGTTATTAACTGTATTCCTAAACATGATAAAAAAAATCCTTTAAAATACTATGAGCTGTAGTGTAAATATAACTTTTTCATGTGTATTACTCAGGCATAAACCTTGTGAAGAGACAAGCCGCCAATTACACAGATGTCTCATCTCTCACCCCTGGACAAGAAGTAAATGTTATGTGCTGGGGGGATCCTCAGGAATCAGAGGTAAGTTAAAGCAGAACTGTAGCTTGTGCGATTTTCTACAACAGAATAACTAAGAAAACTTTTGGTTGTGATGTTCCCATTTTTATATTTGCATGCCCAGTTGGGTACATCAAATTGATATAATAGCTGTATGCATTAGCCATGTGACCATAAGGCACCACTGAAAGAATCCCTGAGCGCACATGCACTAAAATGACATTTGTGTAAATGCTCCAAAGGCATCATGGGGCAATGAAGTTGTCCACAAAGGAGAAGTGCAGATGCGGTAATTTAAAAAATAAAATCAAAAATTTTTAATGGTTACTCCAGCATCATAACCAGTGGACATTGCCATTTATTGGCTGAGTCAGCTTACCTCTCTCAGCCAATGAATGACATGCTGTGCAAAGCTTAGAGTTCTGGGTTGGCTGATGACAGTAAGTGATACTGGCAGACGTTTCACCTCCATGACAACAGAAGGGTTAAGCTCAGTATGTGCAGTGTTTCAAAGTTAAATGTTACACATAGACTAAAAGCACCGTGAACACCTCAAATTACTGAAGTTACTTGGAGTAACTGCATTTCTGCGGTGACTGAACAAGGAGTATCACTTTATAAGCTTCATAAGAACAGACAGTTCTGTTTTAAATGGGCAATCTCAATCCACTTTAGTGGTTATGGTGCCAGGAATTGAATTGCATTGGGTGCACGCATTCATACAAATGTCAAATTGTTGTCCCACCTTTCAATATTGGGGCATTCAATACCTTATGTGTTTTCAAAGTGCTTGGCACTTACCTGGGTGCCTGCAACATCTCTCTTCTTCTGATATTGCTTGTATCAAAGTTTCTGCTTCCACTTTAATTACATAAATTCTACCCCGTGAAGTGCTCATTCAATGAATTTTGTACAAATAGAGACTAAATTAATATTTATATTGTGGAGGAAAAACTTCCATTTTAGGCATACTAGAGAAGACCAGAAGAAACAAAACAATCAAATTGTTTGGAAACATTAGATTATTACCCAGGAACATCTGGCATCATAACCACTACAGCATGCTATACTGGTGCCTAGAATTTGTGTTTGCGTGTTAAGTTTTGAAGGAAAAAAATGTTTGTGTACTTCTGGTTCTCGGTAGAAATGTACCTAATTTCTTGGTAAATTGTAAGTAAAATTTAGGATGTGATTTTTCTTTGCGGCTACATTTAAATCTGGAGCCATCAGCATAGAAATCAGTTCTCCGCATAGGTTACAGTATCTTTCTCTTCCTTTTTTTTGTTTTCCCGTCCTGCTAAATAGGTGCTGTAATGAATTTGTTGGAATAAGGCTCAAAAGTAGACCGCTGAAAAATATTTAATGAATAGACTCATCTGGCGTTCTCACTTATCATTAAAATGTTGTGTTTTTGTTATGTTCTCAGAAGTGCCCTGTAAAAGCCTAATTCCTTATCTTTCCAGATCCTCCTTGGCTGCAAAGATGGGACGGTGAAAGTCTACAGCGCAGAGAAATCTAAATTCACAGAATTTCATGATTGCGGAGGAGGAGAGGGTGTGTTCCGTGGCCTTGGAATCTTAGATAAGTGAGTCAGAGCGTTACTGTCCATTCAAAAGGGTGGCTAAACATTATGACAGTTGTAGTTCTATAGGCTTAGTTCAACTAGAGTTTCCAATATTGGTTCCCTAGGTTTTTTTTTTTTGGGAACCCCTCTAGCCTAGTGCAAGGGTGGCCAAAGGGTAGATCCCCATCTGTTGTACAACTGGAGATCTACTATTTGCCCATCCTTGCAGGTGTGTAGTTGCAAGCAGTGTTTGCATTTGAATGTAAGCATGTTTTTGAATAGAGTATGTGTGTGCATGTAAGGGTTTGTTTGTATGTGCTGTTGCCACTGGAATGCATTTGTGTGTAGTGTTGGCTTTTAAATAAAGTTGTTCATGTTGTGTGTAGTAGGGGTGTTTGGAAATAATTTGGGCATTTGAATACAGGGGTGTGTTTTGTAATGTTTGCAATTTGATTGGAGGAGTGTGTTTGTAGTGTTGGCTTTCCACATTTGTGTTTAGTATTGGTGATTGAACGAAGTGGTTTGTTTAGATATATGTTTGACATTTGATTGCAGGGCTGTGTTTTTATATGTACATACCTACACATATATAAATACATGCACACATTATAATTCTTATATGTTCACCCTCCTGTTAACATACTTTTGTGTGCAGTAGAGTGGCTTCACGTGGGACCTACTGATGGCTCAGACCGATTTGGAGCGTAGGGCTGGAGCAGCTCTCTCCTTCTTCTCAGTGTCCTTGGTTTCTTATGGTTTTCTATATAAATGCATTGGAAGGCTATTGCGCATGCGCAGCAAAACGCCACACTGCACCATTCAGCATTTCCTTATGATGCTTTCAATCAATGCAACTCTGAGGAACGTTCAGTGTCTCCATGCAAAGTGTGGAGATGCTGAACGTCAGTGCTGCACATTGTGCAGCATTGACCTAAGATGCACCTCTAGTGGCTGCCATGGCAGATGAAATGTCATAGTAAGTTTTGAGTTACCGTTCGCCATGATGGATTTAACCCAGCCTTGTCAGTAAGCGATTCTTTGCAGTTTAATTATGTTTCTCATTTTCTGTTTTAGTGCCATCATAACATGCGTGGAGTCAGGATTACTCAAGGTGTGGCAACAGGGATCCTCTGAGAATGTGAGTATTACTTGGGTTTGTGGTAGTAGTTTAGCTCTATACTTGAAGGTTCTAAGGTTGAAAATGCATCATACTAAACATCATCTGATTTTTTTTTTTTATAAATTTTTTTTTAAATAAGGCATGGTAATTGTATTTAAAAAAAAAAAAAAAAAATTGTGTGAAGGATACCGATCCAAACTGTTCTGGTTCTTTAGCATTGAGGATCTATGTCTTGCCAGTGATTTCAGTGCTGAGGTCACCTAAATGTTTTTTTGTTTTTTTTGGTGTGGGTACAACAGTGGTCCATAAGGACAAGTTTCTTTACATACAGCAGTGATGCTTAATGGGACAAACCTATAAGTTGAACAATGAACTGTGCTTTCCCTGACCACTTAAAGAAGCACTCCACTGCCCACATGGGAGAGAGGGGACTGGGGGGAGGAAATCACCATTTAGCAGATATACCCCCAATGAATATATGTATGAATTTCCATACATGTATTCATTGGGGTATATCTTAAGAGCTTGCCAAGGCTGCAGATCTTATGAACTGCAACCATAGCAAGCCCTCCCCTTTTTTTTCCCTAAAGAGACTTGCAGTCTTTTTACAGGAAAATAGCCAATCAGAGGTTTCTAATTGAGAAGCCTCTGAATTTGTTCACACATCTCGCACATGCGTCTGGTCTGAGGTCTAGAGCTGAGGATCTAGTGAGTGGGAAGGCGGGCAAATAGAGCGTGCCTGCCACTTCCGTTGGCTCAGGGGAGCTAATGGAAAGAGCCTGCAAACCTCCTTGGCTGTTTGACAGCTGGGAGGTGGGGGGGGGTGTTCCCTAGCAAATTTATAAAAGTGTGGATTTCTCATAGAAATCATCACTTTTATAAACTAGGGTTAAACTATGCAACTTACCCATAGAGCTCTTCAGCAAGCTGAAGTGCTTTGGGGTGTGGAGTGGTCCTTTAAGTCAAGTCTAGCACATCAAATGTAGTGCAAGCGAGGGCTTAAATCTGTTTCCTGAGACATAAGCTTTTTGAAGCGTTACTAAGAAGTGTTTGACTTGATTTGCTGTTAGGTGCAGATTGTGCCAAGTAAAAGTGTTTGCATTTTGCATATTGATATAATACAAGATTGGTATTTAAAGCACCTAAATTTTTTTTCTTGAGTGTCTGTGGCCTGGGACCAGTTATGTCTCATTGTGTAAATTGAGAATGGCACAAGGACAAAGACTTTGCCTAGGGTTTTTTATGCTTGTGCACTATTACAGTTTTAGAATCATGCAAGGTAGTAGAGTGAAAGGTCACGAGTCATTATTCTAGAAAGAATAATAAATAGTGAAGCCGCTATAAACCGGTGGGAATTAATGTAATAAATCGAATCTGTTGTGGTGTTTGTTCTGGATTTGTCATTTACTGCACAACCCTAATAGATGTGTATATTTTATTTATTTTTTTTAGCTAGAGCTGCAGGTTGGGCCCGGAGTGAGGAAGATGCGCCAGTGTGATGCTGATCGCAACAAAGTAGGAACAGGTGGAAAAGAAAATGATTTGAAAATTTGGGACCTGCAAAGAACAGAGGAACCAATCTTCAGAGCAAAGAATGTGAGACTCCTGTGATGTGCAGCACAAAATTAGCAGTCAATGAATGATGTTAAATGTTGGCCAAAATTGATATTGCTTTAGTGAAACGGTTGCCTCCTCAGATGCTTGAGGGATTGAAACGTCAAACAGTTAACATGGTTTGACTTCTTACTAATGGGTTGTATGTATTCCTAACCCTATAGTGTTCTCCTCAACATTTGGATTCAGGGTCCTCCACTCTCAAATGAAATAACCGGAACTTACGCTTGTTCCAGTGTCAGGACTCACTTCGTACAGCTACCCCTGGTGATATCTTCCTGGGGATTGGGGTGCACACCCAGAACATGTATTTCTCAGCAATGGCGCTGCTGTCCAGGCAAAAAATATATATAAAATACAGATTAAGTTTTACAAGGCTATTTAAAGTCGCCTATCTTTGAAAACATATATGGGACTTGATTTACACTATTTGACATTGTGGTTGGCTTAACACAATGTGGCTAAAGTACCCCATTTACTATGATAAAGTACCCCAGTATCAGTGGATCCAACACTAATTTAAACATGAAAAATCATTGGATTGGCTGAGCTTGTTAGAGGCATATCAGGGGCCGAGCCAGCACAAGCCAAACACAGCCCTGGCCTACTGTGCAGTACTGACCCAGGAAGCACCTCTAGTGTCCGTCTGAGTGACTACCACTGGAGGTATTCCTAGTCTGTAATGTAAACACTGCCTTTCTCTGAAAAGAAAATGTTTACTGCAAAAAGCCTGAAGGGACTGACTATTCCCTATACTATATCTGTAGTTGTTCTAGCGAGTAAAGTCAGGCTTTTTGCAGTAAACAAATACAATACGCTATAATACAGCAACATTAAAAAAAAATGTGTGTGTGTGTATGTATGTGTATATATATAAATATATATATGTATGTATGTATATGTGTATATATATATATATATATATATATATATATATATATATATCTCTAAATAAATGGTGGTGGTGCCGCCCCTGCTTAGCTGGAGTCCAGTAGGATATTTGTTTGTCAGTAAATAAGGACTGCTTTGAGCATGGTGGTCAATAGATGGCTAGATCATTGTAGTACACATTGAAATTTGACATGTTTATGGGTGAGCGTTGAAGGCTGGGTTTATTGTGCTGTGAGGCTTCTTGAAACAAGCAAGTCTTATGTTTTTTCTTCAAAGGTGAGGAATGATTGGTTGGACTTGCGAGTACCAGTCTGGATTCGTGACCTAGATTTCATTCCAGGAACAGACAATATTGTCACTTGCACAAGTTACCATCAAGTAAGTGTCACTTTTGTTTTCTCCTCTCTTATCTATAAGATTTATTTTGATCCATAACGTCTAATGTTAACTGATGCCTGTCTCTTTGTCAGGTTAGAATCTATGACCCCAGTTGCCCTCAGAGACGACCAGTTTTGGAGGCTCTATATGGTGAAGATCCTCTAACTGCACTGAGTGTCACACCCGATGGCATGTAAGTTCAGAGGTGTGATGGATCCCTCACGTCCATAACTTTAAGTAATGCTAACTAATACTTTTTTGTATGTTCTCCAGCTAGTTACAACCTCTTTTAAACTGTGTATGACTTATGAGCTTGTAGTCCGCGGTTTCTCAAGGCGAATCATTTTTCACATCGGGTTTTTCTATTTATCATATTTTCCTTTATAGGTCTGTGGTGGTTGGAAATTCTCATGGTAACCTTGGAGTGATCGATCTGCGGAAAGGTATATACTGTGTTTATTAAAATAGTTTATATAGAATGAACATGAGAATTGGACTCTGGGTAATTTTTTTAAATCTTGACTTCAGATGTCACCTTCCATGAGATCACATAATGTAAACAATACCAGTTTAATTGCTGGAACTTGTTCGTACATGAACATGATGTGGAATACAAATGGAATGTTTTGTGATAGACTTTGTAAATGACAAAATTCAAACAAACACTGAACATACAGATACCTATCACCATAAAAGCAGAAGTGGCTACGGAAGTCCGAGTTAATCCTTTTACATACTTAATGGCAATATAAAACACAATGGCTTCAGCAATTTGAACATCCAAAAGTTCCAAGAAATCAAATCTAGCCATTCCATTCACCATCTGGTTTCCTTTACATTAAACTTCCTCCACCTGAGTATACATGCAGACAATGCACAGATGCGTCCAGTAGTTTGAACAACATTTGTTAGAGTAATCAAGACCAGAGATTAAAAAAAAAAAAAAAAAATCTGTCTTCCACTAGAGGGCTCCACCACTATCAAAATGGATAACAAATGTTTTTAGCCTTAAACTGATAATTGAGGGAATTTAGGAAGGGAGCTGCAAATTAAGGCCAAAATAACTTTGAATTTTTTTTTTATAAATTGTCTGATTTGCACTACAATTTGCAAACCTTGTATTGATCCTCTATAATTCACTGTTGAATGAATAAACTGTAAAGTATGGGTCCAGTATGTCATCTTTGATATTTTCTTCACGTACCAGTGTAATTATTGTAATCTATATTAACAGAGATTTACAATTGGTGTGTTTTTTTTTCTTTTCTTTTTTTCTTCGTTTTGTTTTTTTGCTTCTCACAGGCAGTCTTCTGCGTGCTCTGAAGGGATCTGCAGGCTCTATTCGTTCTATCCAGTGTCACAAATCAATGCCCCTTGTAGCCTCGTGTGGTTTAGACAGGTTCCTACGGGTACATCACTTGAATGACAAGGAACTTTTGCACAAGGTACAAATCTGAGTAGCTGTCCCCCTATGTATCTGTATGAAGGGTGGATGAGTTTGTAATCTAGCCAGGGATCATGTAGATTTGATGTCTCCTTTAGTGATAGATTAGATCTACAGATATAGTGTTCACACATCAGTAATGTTTTTAAATGGGAAATAGAGGAAAATTATCGCATAATGGGGGCATACAGATACTTGGCCTGCATATAGAAATGTTGCTTATAAACTCTGTAACTTCTCCTGACTACCAGATCAATTAATGAACTGGGTGTCTGCAAATGCCTTTCATGCTGTTTGGGTGCATAGTCTGTTAGTCTGCTAATGCATGTACAATGAGAGGTGTGTGAATCAGGTTTTTTTTATTATTATTATTTATTTATTTATTTATTTATTTTAAATCTCAATCATTACAAGCATTATTTGTATATATATATTAACCTTAACACTTATAATACAAATACTAAAAAAACAAATTTTGATCTACTGAAAAAATATTAAGATAACTAAATTACGAAGGATGATGAGTTGTATTATATTGGCACATACGTATAGTAGGGATTTAGATGGCAGTGTCCACAATTTAGTTCGGCATTGGGATGTGCCTGGTACACTCCTTGTGCACGCTCACGTTTGACTGAGTTAATGAGCTATTTAAAAAAAAAAATTCTCTGCTATTCTTTATTGAGCATTATAAAAAAAAAAAAGGTACAGTTTGTGATTCTCAAATATATTACAGTTGACATGTAATTTACCTGAAATGCTTCAAATTACATTAGAGAATAACAAAAGTAACTTATGAAAAACCCTTTTGAAAGCCTTTCCCCATAATATTTATCAATTTTCTTTTACTACATCAGGTGTATCTCAAGTCACGGTTAAATTGTCTTCTCTTGACGTCACGTGATAAATGGGAGGTGAGTAGCAAGTTAAACTCTGGGTGGTGGGCAATAGGCAAGTAGCCATACAGTAGAAAGTGTCATCTGACAATTTGCTTAACCTTCAGGAAGAGGAACTGGTTGCAACTACTGAACAGGAAGTCAAAGATGAGGAGGATGAAGTCTGGGATGCTATGGAGACTGTGGTAGAGAAAACTCCAACTAAACTGCAACCAGTCACAAGTGATTCTAACGTGGAGGGTATAACTAAAGTCTCCACATCCAAGAAGCAGAAAAAAAAGAGGAAAGTCATCTGATATGAACAAAGTTCTTATAACGTGTCTACAAGTAAATGCCCAGCATGGAAACTGTTGTGCTTTTCCCAAGTTGCTGATGGACATTGTTAGAGCAAACTGTCATTAATGCACTTTGCTCATTTTAGAATAAAAGAGAAAGAAATATCCTGACAGTGTCCACTTCCAAGTACTGTAATTAAAGGATGGCGAATATTGGCTCTTCTAAGCTGCTGGGAGACCATCTTGTGAAGAAGAAACCTGTTGCAGATACTTCTGCTTCCTCTATAGGGACAGTGAACAATAATCTGACACATATGTCTTTCCTATTTTTGACTGGATCCCAATTATTTTATACAAAGAACGATAGAGGATAAAATATATATTGTAATAAATTGTTCCAGTCATTGGGTGCAGTGTTTTGTATTGGCATATTCCTAATGTTAAAGAAATACAGAGCAGGAGTGCTCATTGACTTTAGTGATTTATTTCAGAAATGAAGCACGATTACAGAATAAAAAATAAAAAAAAAGTTATTTAATTGTATTAGGGTATAAAATATCAATGGATGGTTGCCTTGTAAATTTTAGATGGTAAACACAAAGATTAATTTTTTTATTTGTTCCCACCACCTCCCCCCAATTTAAATGTTTTAACAACATCGCAATTCCATTCTATTGGCAAAACCCAGTCAAACGTTTACTGGATTTTGCTGATATTTTTATTGGGTTTTGACAGGATTTAATGCCAGCTGAATTTCTAGCAGCTGGACCTGATAATGAATTGGCTGCTTGATATATTTGCTTCTAAAATTTAAACTAGAACCTATGGCGTTACTATTATCCCTATATTGGTACAATAGAGGTTTTTAACCCTATCACGTTGCTCTGACCTGCCAAGCTGCAAGTGGAGGCATGTCCACTTAATAGTGAGCAGCTAGGGGGTTGTGCTCTTTGATAAAGACTACTGGCCTTGATAAAGACTACAGGTACAGGTTTTATGGTGTTTTCAAAAGTTACAGAGCCAAATATAAGGCTTGCGTTTGTTTTTTTACATTGAAATTCGCCAGACTGGTTATGTTGCTGGTTATGTTGAGATCGTATGGTAGCCCAGGAATGAAAATTACCCCTATGATGGCATACCATTTGCAATAGTAGACAACCCAAGGTATTGCAAACAGTGTATGTCCAGTCTTTTTTAGTAGCCTCTTAGTCACAAACTCTGGGCAAAATTGGCATTCAAATTAGTTTTTTGCTTTTTTCACACAAATATTAACACTAAATTTGGCTAGTGTCAAAGTGGCTACTAAAAAGACTGGAGATACCCCATTTTCAATACCTTGGGTTGTCTACTATTGCAAATGGTATGCCATCATGGGGGTTATTCTCATTCCTGGGCTACCATACGGTCTCAAAGGCTACGTAACCAGTCTGGCGAATTTCAATGTGAAAAAAACTGAAAAGTGTAACATGCTATATTTGACCCTGTAACTTCCCAAAACACCATAAAACCTGTGCATAGAGGGTACTGTTTTACACGAGACATCACAGAATACAAATATGTTTATTTTATAGCAGTACAAGCAAACCGTATTATGACATTCACAGTTAAAATGTCACGTAGAACTAAAAATGTTTAAAAAAAAAAAAAATTCTCCCATTTTTAAAATATTTTATTCATATTAAATTAGGTTTATACCTAAATATTTGATATTAAATGAAAGCCCCAAATTGTGGGAACCGCGCAAGAGCATGATAGTCAGCTCTGCCCCCTACCTCAGTGCTCCTGTGCTGACAGCTGCACGGGTGTCAGCAATAGTGAGTGTGCTGCTGGACAAGCAAGGCGGCCACCTGGCCCGGCGGCACCTCCGTACACAATATGAGATGCGGCCACGATATTACTGAAACCGGCCGCGGGGCTCCCTATCGATAGGAAATTAGTTGTGTAGCCCCCAGGTGCCGCAGCCCATGGGGAAATTTCCTGGTATCCCGGTGGGCCTGTCAGCACCCCAAATTTGAATTCCAGTCCACTTGACGTATTCTCACATAAGATGGTCCAGTTGGGCAGTACAGACACAGTGGGCACCACCTCTTAAAGCACACACTAGGCTTTTACCTAATTGAAGCTCTAGTCCTACTTCCTGGTTCCATATCCCAGGTCTAGATTGTGTGTGTGTATATATATACACACATTTTTATTGGAAGTTCCAAATATGTTTATATTACTGCCGGCACCCCCATTTCGGCATTGAAATTGCTAGAAAGAAAGAAAAACAAATCGTAAATTCACCTTTATTCCAGTGTCAGAAGAGTCCCTGCTGCAACTTCTCATAGAGAAGCATTGGGACACAGTGCATGCATGGCAATGGCCACTGTCAGGCAACAATGCTTCTTTATGAGAAGATCTCGCCTCTGCATTGGACAGAGTGTTTACATTACAATTCACAGAGCGTAAAGCAGGAATCCCCTGGCAGTCTTCTTGCCAGCCAAGAGATGTGACTATGGTTACCTATTGGTCTTGTAATGTAAAGCATTGAGCTGTAGTTATGTTGCTTAGATTCTCTTAAGACTATCAGAAGGGCTTTGGTTACCACGTATTTATTTAAATACAGTAGACATATGCACACAGGACTGGTCCCCACATGATCGCTTAATCACACAATTTAAGCATTAGCTCACTGCATTGCAGTAACCAAGAATATGTCTTTGAAAAAGCAGTGTTTACAGCAAAAAGCCTGCAGGGACATACTATACTCAACAGAAAAACTACATTAAAAGGAAACTCCAGTGCCAGGAAAACCATCCGTTTTCGTGGCACTGCAGGTCCCCTCTCCCTCCCATCCCCAAGAGATATAAAAAACTGCAATAATTACACTTGCAGGGTTAAGGGTAGTGGGAGATGGCACCCAGACCACTCCAATGGGCAGAAGTGGTCTCGGTGCCAGGAGTGTCCGTTTAAGTTGTTTTGGTGACTATAAGGTCCCTTTTAAGTGAGACCCATCTTAACAACAGGTCTGGGCTGGAGCAGCCACGTAAATGTGTCTTACAACTTGCATTTACAAAAAAAATCTTATAGAGATATATAGGCACTCCTATATCCAACTACAAATGCCATGCGGCCTCTTTAACTCCAGAAACACAATTTTTATTATCTCCAGATCAGTTATATATTTAAACATTGAGCAAGGTTAATGGTATGTTTAATTGTTGAGCTACACGTGCATATTACAGAGTTAATTAAAATGTCACATACCTATGGCGAACACACTGCACATGGAAAGTGCTGCACAGTTTCTATTAGCTCATTATCTCTTCGGATTATCAGGACCATAGCATGTGTGTTAGTGACAGCTGCCACAAAAGTAATGCTTGCTGAATCAGCATCTTGTTTTAATCTCTGATTATTACAAAGCCATCACATTGATAAAAAAAAAAAAAAAATAACAACGTTGTACTGGCTAAATCAGCATGGGTATCCTAAGCTGACAGGCACTAGCGATGTGCATTGTGATTAACAGATTTATAGAGCTCTGTAAACAAGTAACTCTCAGATATATCTGTGTGTTCAATAATGTTGTCAAATACTGGTCTATTTTAACTTTATTCAACCCCCTTTATTCAAGGAATATTGAGCAGCAAAATAACCTGACATAATTTAGCTCAGATAGTTTTTTTTTTTACATTTAGCCTTATTTTGCCTTTTAGTAAATAAACTGAATTTCAGTAAAGAAACTTTAAAAAATAAAATATAACCCAAACCAAACATATTAACCCCTCAAGGACCAACAAGTTGACAAGGAATTTGTGCCAAAACGACCAGAACTTTTTTTTTTTTTTATCACATTGGATGTATATTCCTTTCTCTCACAAGAGTTATAATGGCCACCAACCTAGACAGGCACTGGGTAAATTCATAAAACTAAATTGAATTGGAGGTAACCATGTGTGGTGTTTTGGTTGTTGGCCTGAAATCAGTTTGGTGAAGTGCCAATGGGTATGTTTAAATGGTTACTCTAACCAAAAACTGTGTTTTAATAATACACTGTTTATGAATACAGTAGGCCTTGTTGGCATGGCCCTGCTTGTAACGAATAAAAGGAAATAGTAGGCAAAGATCTCCTTACAGCCGATCCTCTGTGACTTCATCCCGTCTCTCCCCACAGGAGGAGAAGGATGTCCCACAGGACAGGCTAAGGGAGAGACTTGGTTAACAGAGGGGGCGAGGGGTGGAGGTCTGTTCCACCAGTGGACGTTGTTGCCAACATCTATGCGTGCTGACAACAGATGCCCAATGTGCACAGAATTAACATTAGCCAGCCCAGAACTCTCATTCCAAGCTTGCTAATGACACTGCCGGAGGTGGACTTACGACTAGCAGGAAGCTGCTGTATTTCTCTTTGTGCATACAGACTTCGAGTACCATGACCACTTTACATTACCGAAGTGGCCATGGTGTTTGAAGTAACCCTCTAAGGTTGAGTCAAGAGAGATTATGTTAGGAAGACAACTGAAAAAATTAAATAACAAGTAACTTGGCTTGCATTGTTATTTGTTGTTATGTAATTTCTCAACCCTCAAGAAGTTTTTATTTGTATTTTATGTTGGGTTTTGTTATAAAGCTGTACCAATAAATATTGTCTGTTTGACTATTCTATGTCGCTGGAGCTCCTGTGAGCCACTGTCAAAGTTTTTGTTTTAAGCTCCTGGCTGATGTGGTTTCCTTTGACCCACCACAATATTGGAGAAGACACCCTAACTAAAATATTATGCTACTGTATATTCATTCTTTTTTAGATTTACAGCTGTATTACCAGTTAGTGTTTTGTCATACATATAGTGCTTGGAGTGTTCCTTTAAGATGAAAATTAAGTATAGACAGCTATACTAAAATGTAAGTTAGCAGAGACAGTTTACTAGCACCACATCCCCTCCAACAAGCTACAATGGGGCTTGGAATGTCTCTTTAAAGATACCAAGACTGTACTGGTTGCCATGATACTACAAGTTTGATGTTTCAGTGGGTGAATTGAGATAATGAATGCTTTGTGAACAAACGAAGTATTCAGGAGTCACAAACATTTTCATAGAAACTGCAAATCATGCAAGACTCTTAAATGGCGTTTGTAAAAAAAAAAAAAAAAAACCTGTAAAAAAGGCCATTGCAGTTTAGTTTAGTTTTTTTCTTCTTGTGTTAAATAACATTTATAGTATAAAGCTAACATCCATACTCACTGGGATAAAAGACATTCCTCATGATTTACAAATGGGCAAAGTCCAAGTCCTTACTATGTGTTACAGTTTTAATGAATCAGGAACTTGTATTCATCTGAGACGAAGAAAACACCAACAATGCCTCATTTAATACCCACAAGAAGTATTACATACAGATCTTGTACATTATTTTTCCTTATGTACCCAGACACACTGTAGCAACACGCAAAAGCCTTTGCGAAGAACATGTATACACAAAAAAATATAAAATACAGTTATACCTTTGTGGGCAGAATATAACAAACTGGGGTTAAAGGGAACCTATACTTCCTAAAATAACAATTGTTGTTTTCCCCTCTGCCCACCCTCTTTGCCCTGAAAAAAAGATTAGGTAAAATAAAGTTTATTCACCTCCTTGCAGCCCTTAGGTCTACCTCTGGTGATCTCAGCAAGCATGCTAACGAAACAAGAAAGGTCAATGCACTCAATGAGGTGAAATTAACAAGTTTTTAATGACGTATTACAAAAGGCAACTTTTGGTCACCATCCGTGACCATTACCAAGCCATTTGACGAAACATTGCCTTTTGTAATGTTTCGTTAAAAAGCTGTTCATTCCGCCGGCTTTTCTCCATAAGAGAAACATTGCAGCTATCTTGCCATTTGTTCCCAAGACGGCCATGCCAATGCAGACATCTTCATCTACAACTAATGTGCCTTAGGGCGTACAGTTCTTTTTTTTAATATATATTATAGTGCTCTGGACAGACTCAGTGAGCGGTAGCTGCACACACTTGTTTGCACTTTCAGTTGATTTAAGCAGTGTTAATTTTGGCAGGAAATTTCCATTCAGTTTTAGTCTTTTGACTAAAAAGCTATTTTTGTTTTAGTCGTATTTTAGTCATCGGAATTGTTTTAGTTTTAGTTTAGTTTTTGTCCACTAAATATCCAGTAGATTTTAGTCGACACGACTAAAATCTAAAGGGTTTAGTTAAAGCCTCTATCTGTCTCTTTTGCCCCTTTCCCAGCCCCTATGTGGCTCTTTCCCCGCCCTCCCAGTCACCCTGTATCTATTTGTTTCCCTCAGCCCCTCTGGGTGTTTCTCTCCCAAGCCCCTGTCTCTTTTGCCCCTTTCCTAGCCCCTCTGTGTCTCTTTGTGTACCCCACCCCCTCTGGGTGTTTCTCTTCCAAGCCCCTGTCTATCTCTTTTGCCCCTTTCCCAGCCCCTCTGTGTCACTTGGGGTGGGAGCATATGCAGGCATATTGCTCTGTCTGGGACAATCCCTCTTCCCGTGCGGCTCCCAGTGGTTGCTGGGAGGAAGTGACCGGGGCAGTCACTTCCTCCCAGCCTCTGACATCATCAGAGGGGGCCCGGTCGTGCTGTTAAAGCGTTGACCAGGCCCCCTAGAATTACATAGCATTGGGATGTTATGACGTCACTCCAGCTCCTGCATCACTAAACAGTGTGCAAGGGAACAGCCATCAAGTCTTTTTTCCTAAACAACCTGATATTATCTGGAAGGCCCATCTCGAAAGACGCTATTCCCCGTGATGAATCTGGTGCCTGCTGAAGAAATCTATCTGCCTTCAAGTTAACTTTTCTCAGAAGGTTCACTGACTGTTTTCAGGCCAGAACATCAATGGGCATTAGGCCCTCATCAGTATCCCCATTCCATTTGGGCCTGATACTTCATCTGATTAATTACATTATCTCTTCTTATTATTTCATTTTGATGCCAGTTCCTAGCTATAACAATCTTTGCTGCTAATAGCCCATGTATAAATAAAGCCTTATTATTTCTTGATAACATTTCTAATTCCATATGAAAGAGGGCCCTTTGAATCGTAGCTGGAATTATAGTGTTAGTTACGCTAGAAAGAATACCAAAAATATTGGACCATCCATGTTTAATTTCATTACAACTTGTAACATATTCTTCCTCACCTTGCAGTCTTTGCACACAGCGGCCGTGCGTCTGCATGACTGACACTTGCATGTTAATGGACACCGGACGCTGCTGATCCACGGCAAAATATACCCCCACGTCTGCTCATGTGATTGACGACGTTGGCGTGCATGTGACGTCAAGCACGCGGCGCACGCGCACGTTTTGGGGTCAAAGAGCGATTTCAGCCAATCGGAATTTAAACCTAAAAATACCTTCCCTCCCTGTCTTGGTTTCCCTGGTGGTTGTCCGAGAGCGCGTTCCTTATTCTGGTTATTCTGGTTATTTGACTTTGGCATTGATTTTGACTTCCCTGTTTTCTGGTATCCCTGACTTCTGGCTTTCCTTTATCGTTGTGTCCCTTTCTGTGTCCCCTGACCTTGGCTATTCCTGACTGTTCCTTGGTGTCACGACATTCCTTAGTTGATTTGCCCTCGTGAAGTACCCACATTCACCACTATCTTTGTTTGGCACTGTTCCTAATTTCTTTTCGTTAAGCATTTCACCTGGTCCTTGTTTAGCACCTATATAGTTTGGTTTCTCCCCTCACTCCTTGCCAGATCATTGTTTTTTGTCTCCTGGTTCCCTGTGATTCTGGCTCCTGGCTCCTTGATCCTACTGTTCCTTTGTCCTGTGTCCTGCGCCTCCTTGTCTTCATCCTGTGTCCTCCTGATCCTGCGTTCCTGTGTCCTCATGGTCCTTCGTTCCTGTGCCCTACGATCCTGTGTTCTGGTTCCGTGTTCTCTGCCTTATCACCAGTGATCCTGACCCTGCAGCCTTGTTCATTTATTCTGCTTCTGACCTTGATTCCTGGTGTCAGTATATTAGTCTTGTGACTCTGGATTTGTGCCCTTCCTACTACTCGTGGTAACTGCACAATCCTGCCCTTATACCAAAGGATTGTTTCAGTATACGTTGCCTGCACTATTCCTGCTTATCCTGATTTATTGTATATATTTTGTGGCATTGTGTATATATATATATTGTTTTGTCTTTTGGTTCTCTATAATATATATATATCTTGATTTAACCTATTCATTTGTGTCTTGGCATTTATTTCTTTGCTGTATTGGTTCCCACATTTAAAGGGACAGTGTTGTTCCAGGGCAGCACCCCTTCATGTCATTACACTTGGTACGTGAGTCCGGCCATTCTAAGGCCCGGTATACATTACGTAGTAGTCTCCTGTGTTACACAGTTCTACGTGCTGGATCATACTGTAATCCTGACACAACTCCACCATATATGTTGGTAGGTTCCTGTTGCTTCATTACATCGCCAACATTTTGGATTCATATCTGTACTAAACTTTGCCATTCTTACTGGGACTAGGTACCAATGCATCATGATCTTATAATGTAATTCAACCATGTTTAAACAGTGGGTAATCTTGTTAACTCCGATAAAACTATTTGTTCATTCTTCTAGATTTAAATGGTATTCCAATTCCCTTTGACAGCTCTCATAAGGTTTTAAATGGCATGTTTTATCCAATTCTTCTAGTATTCTATACCATCTGGCCAATTCTTTTTTCCCAACCACATTATTTAAAATACTTAAAATATTATAGGTAATTTTATTTCTATAGTTATTATATATGTGAAGTAGTGCCACATTCTGAGTGAGTTATAAAATTCAGACTATTTAAATGCGTATTCATTAAGAATCTGTATTGGGGTTTTGATACCCTCCTCAGAAATGAAATTTCTTATTTTATAAGTGTGAAGAAAATAGAATTTGAATTTGGGACTTTTGTAAGGCCATTCGTTATTTTTATGTTTTATCTGTTCGGTAGATTAAACTACCAACCACCCTCCTGGCTCATTATCTACAAAGGGAACTGTCAATTGAGCGCTCTCTCTGGGTGGCCGCCATTCGTATAGCCGAACGCCACGTGGCAGAGAAAATGGCAGCCATCTTGTTTTCACGAAAGGAGGCAGCGGGACTTGGTCGTCGAATGTCTGGAAGTAAAATCGGACACTCGACTTCCCGAACACTGCTAAAAACATACGAACGCCTGCTTCCTTTCTACGAACAGCTAGGAGAGCGCTGTTCTGTAGTTTAGTTCCCACGAACAAAGAGAACAATCGCTCCTATGAGCCTGGGGGCTCCGTTCGTGCTTTCATTCACTTATTTGACTTTTTCTAAATTCGTTTATTTAACTTTTTCTTCACACATACTGAATTCATTGAACTGTTTTGGGCAGGAGCCTCGTGTGCGGTTGGTAATATATGACTTTGATACTTTTCGAAAACCCCTAAACCGATCTGGGTGATTTTTGAATATGTTGGTCACCCAGATCAGGGCTATCAGGGGATATGGGGATACCATGTGTTTTAGGGTATGTTCCAAGATTTGGGGAAAATATGTTTTTTCGACCTGGAGATAACTGGGTTATCCTTTAGCTTGCCTAATTATCTCACAGGCAGAGAGGAGGGGATTGTATGTTTGCAGTGAGAGTGTTTCACTTTGTCCATGTAATTCTATTGGTTGTAACTTTTGTGTCCTGGCGCCCAACAAGGTCCAGGTGGGATAAAAAAGCCAGTGTGGCATCAATAAACCTTCATTCCTGTTGTACCCTTCATGAAGTCTAGCCTCATGTTTGGGTAACTATCTACTGGCTGGGGAGAAACGTCTTGGAAGCTGCATTCGTCTGGAACTATTCATAACTACACCTGAACTGCAGCTATAATCACTAAGGCTCAGCAGTTCTGGAGGAATAGGCGAACAAGGTACCATAACTGTCAGCGTTCGTAACAATAAGGTATGAAACTCACCCAAGCTGACAAGCTTTATATGAGGAATATTATTCTTAAAGATATCCAGGGGGGCAGAAGGCAGTATTTTATCTTTCATGCCTATACAATTTTTAAATATTATCCAAAATTCTATACAATTCTTAGTGACCATTGGTTTTTATGTAAAGCATTACATTTTTCAAGGAGCCATAATGCACATTCCAAATTAGCCATCCCTGCAAGTTCTTGTTCTATATCAGTGATGGCGAACCTTTTTGAGCCCGAGTGCCCAAACCGCAATACATGCCAACTTTTTTTCCCTCAAAGTGCCAACATGGCAATTAAACCTGAATACTGAGGTTTACGTTTAGAAAAAACTACTCGTACAGTTAACAACTTTTGTTTTAAAAGAAGAACACAACAGAGAGTTAAATTATACAATTTTTAAATAATGATATAAATTAAGCTTATATTAATATCTCCAACAAATGCAATACATACACACAGACTGCTGAACACATTCACACACCAACTGCTTAATACATACACACACCGAGACACAGACAGACTGCTAAATACACACACAGTCCGCTAAATACACGCACACTCCTGAGTACGCAGTCTGCTGAATACACGCACGCAGTCTGCTGAATACACACACACACACTGCTGAATACATAAAGACTGCTGAACACACACACATATACTGCATTGAGGGGTGCAGTGTATGTGTCTGTGTGTAATGTTGTGTGGGGG